GTGTTCATCTTCATCTTCATCATCATCATCATCATCATCATCATCATCATCATCATCATCATCATCATCATCATCATCATCATCATCATCATCATCATATCCATCATCAGTAGCAGCAGAACCAGCATCGTTTAATCAATATCATACAAGTATATCTGCAGGTACGTCTCGCCTAGCCCTTGACAAGTTATGCATCCAATGACAACACAATCACATTCATGCTTCGTCTCATCGAAAGATCATCCAAAATCATCTCCATAATCAATCATTTCATGTTTATCATCGTCATCGTCGTCTACAACAACATCATCCCCGTCATTATCGTCTACCGTGATAGGGTCCATCGGTTCTTCCTCGCCCAATGCTGCTCGCATCGTGTGGGGCTAGCAATTCTTCTGTTGTGCCATGTCAGTTGCCCCCCGCACTTTATCCCCTCTCCCATCCTCCTCTGTACAAGACATCGCACAGGCAGTTCACGACTCACTGAAGTCGGGTGGATGTGGAGATGAAAGATTCCTTACACCGAGATGCCCGTTTTCATCCTTGTTCCCACCATTTCACCGCAGCAATCTGAGGACCAAGCACTCAGTGGCAGCGCTGCTTCAACATGGTGAGGGAAGATGCAATATGGCAACACTATGTGCAACATCTAGTTCCTCATTAGTCCATCCCTGCCCTACAGGATGTCACGTCTACTATTCCAACGTTGGTACTCGGATTTTCACTCTAAAGCTGCATTCGAAACTCTGTTCCAATCGAGGGCTATCATATTGCGTGGTCAATTCACAGCCACCTCTTACACACTCTCTCGATGGCTCTTGATCACGGATGATACAGTTGCGCTCCTGCCTTTCAAGCAACGCTCGATCCCACTTGAATTGCAAATCAGCCTTCATTGTTGATCCTCCTTTGCATCTCACCCAATCAAACAGCAGGCTAGAAGATGGTAAGATATCTATCCCTCTCAAACATCTAATCTCTGAACTGCAAATTCCACCATTCTTCTGGCCTCTTGATGCAGTTCTGCCTTGTCTAATGTAAACGCTGTTCGCTGGTGTACACCTGCTTCTCTCGTAGAAGGCTTCCTCCTGCATGTCTTGTTCTTCCATCCACTACAACCACCACCATAAGTTCTCTCTTCCTCATGTTTCATCCTCCTCCTCTCCGTCTCCTCTCCTCTCCTCGCCCCCCACCACCCCGCCCTCCCGCCATCCCCCATTATCCCCGCAAATATGCTGCGACCGCTGCCATACCATCGGTATCCTTTTAATATTTATTGGTCCAGTTATTCCCACTACCCCCTTTTCCACATTGTTCTACCCACCTCATCATCTTTCTACCTTACCACCCCACCCCTATCTGATCCACCTACCGTCATTCACTCCACCATTTCTTTTCATCCTCTGATGGCCCTCCTCCCCGCTCGCACTCGAGGTTTGACCAGGGATTTGACCAGAGAATCCGATGCTCACAGTGCGGCCGCGCCGGGCACTGAGCACAGCGCCGCTCCGAGGCTCAGCGGCGGCGGCCGAAGTTCGCCCACGGCCAGCCGGCCGGGCGCCCGGCCCGGTACGGCGGGTCCGTCGCCTTCAACTTCTCGCGGGCCGGCTGGCCTGGCCGGGCCGGGCGGCGCGGCGGCCGGGGCAGTGCCGCGCCGCGAAGTTCGCCGACTCGGCCCGGGAGCCTGGCATCGGCGGCGGCGCCGGCCGGGGGCCGGGGCGACCGAGCCTCGGAGCACTGACTGAGTCCGCGTCGGAGGCTCCGCCGGCCCGAGAGTCGCGAGTCAGTCCGACCCGCCCGGCGTCAGCCTCCGCTGCCCGGCTCAGGCCAGCTGGCGGCGCGGCCCGGCGCGGAGTGATCGGACCGGCCCGGGCGGCACCGGCTAGTATCCGGGCCTGAGAAACCAGTAGTTGGTGGCCCATAAGTGGGTCGGGTGACTCGGATCGGGGCCCGGCGGCGGCGGCCGCAGGACCGAGTCCGGCGGCCGGACTCCACGGAGTCCCATTTGCGGCCGCGGCCGTCGGACGGTCGGGATCGGACCGGCCCGGGTGACCGTGACCGCCAGCCTGTCACCGCCGCCGCCCCGGCGATCACTGGCTGATCGATACTACCGGACGGTGAACTGAGTTGGCAAGCCTGAGTCCATTCAAACAGTGATCTGACACTGTACTCAAAGTTACTTGAAGTTAAAAAGCACTGTACGAGGACAATCAGGAGACTCGAGAGTCGAGGAGGCTTGACCCTGACCGTACACTGTCGCACAGGCCAAACCGTTGAACGGCGAGAAGAGAAAAGACAGCGAGAACCAAACCCAATCCTGCCGAGTGCTGTCCCCCAAACTTAACTGATACCTTCACTTTGTATTGTGATCAGTCGATCCGATCCGAGCGAGCCTTCGGGAATCCTGGCACAGTGACAGTGATCGGACTCCACGAACTTCGGAAACTGGCAGAGCTCAACTTGAAACTCAGCGACTAGTTCACGGTAGACTCAGATCAGTGTGGATCTGCTGTCGCTCCCACTGACTCATAAAACTTTCAAACTTTCCCAGGCTTTGCAAGCGTTCGGTGGCAGTGACGGTTCAAAAAGGTTCTACTATTCAGAATTCATTAATTATACAACTATATCCACTGTGATGCAAGCATCACAGTGCATAGCCCTCTATTCCTCTTTCTCCTATCGTATGCTTCAATTTGCGAAATTGGGTTTGCCTTCGATTTATCATTACAGGTCCGATGTGGTCTAATCTAGTTTCTGCGGAAACTCACAACAGTATCGATGTTGCAACGGTGACAGGGCTGTCACACACGACCGTGGTATCAAGATCAGCACCAAGACAACGTGGGAACAAAATTTCAGTGAGCAGCCTTGCGGTTTGAAGGACACTCTTCCCTGAGATTTGTGACCGAGTGTTTGTCGTTCCTTCCGTGTATCACAAGATCTTGGTCTGGTCATCCCACCAGCACTCTTGGTGCTCAACAATAAAGTTTCCCTGAGCGGTGATCGCTTTCGAGCCAAGCGCCCTTGTTGCCGCGAGCACGTGAAAGTAGGTGCTGCCATGGCGGGCAAAACCACAGGATGAGATGGCAGGAGAATAAGGGCAGGTTGGTATGTCGCGAACGTAGCAGGTTCCAGCCTGTGAGCGTGACAGTGTGCTGGATTGGCAGTGACGAGAGAAAACATTTTCGTCCTCAGCTGTGCATTTCATGACTGAAGCAGCAGAACAAGAGGACGAGTCTATGCCGACGGGATGGTGGAGGCAGCAGCAGATGCCAGTGGATAGGGCATACTATGCCGGAGGAACTGTATCCAATGTCAGCAGGTCACGATGGCTGCTACGGTACTGCCCGCCAAGCGTTGTGTGTTGAGATCGTGTATGAGCCATGAGCTTTTGACTCAAAGCCGACCGTTCCGAGTTAGTACTACCGTATTCCGACGGGCAAAAGCAGTCACCGGAAGTCCGAAAGAGTCGCCGACTGTATCAACTGTGACTGTTAACGGTGACACTGACAGGCGGATACAGATCAGCCGACTCGTACAACCGTCCGAGGCCGCGGGCTCCCGGCGACCGTACCGTGAAAAAATAGTACAGCCTCCGAGGCACGGTACGGTACGGTCTCGGACTCCCGGGCGGTGCCCGGCGGCACCGTTTTTGACTGAGGCCGCACAGGCTTGCCGGGGGCCCGCGGCGGCCCCCGGCAACCCGGCCCGTCCGACGGCGGCGGCCCGGCCCCGGCGGCGGGGAACTTCGGAAGTCCCTAGGGCAAAGTAGTACTCGGGAGTCCGTGTGCCGCGGCGGCCGAGATCATCAGGACTGGCACTGAGTCACTGAGTCCCGGCTTCCCGGTGACGCCGGGCCGCCCGCCCGGCCGCGCCGAACCGTCGGACTCCGGGAACCATTGAACCGTTCAGCGGAAGTTTCTGGCGCGGCGGCCCGGAGTTAGTCATGATTAGTATTGCGGCGGGCGGCGCGCGCGCCGGCGCCGCCGCGGGCCGATAAACTTCGGCTGAGCCTGCCACGGACTCAGTAGTGGCACTGACCGTCCAGTAGTGGCGGGCCCCGGCAAGCCGCGGTGACCGTTAACCTACTGAGTTCAACAGTTGAGGCGTGACGGCACTAAGGCTTGCCAAGTTTGCCAAAGGAAAGAACTAAGCCGCCTGACTCATATGATGCCATTAGTACCGTGAAACTTGAAACTTGACAACTTGCTAGAGTGAGTAGCCCCCCGGCGGCTCCGGGACCGTGCCTGCGCCCTCCCGGACTCCGGCGGGCCTCCCGGCCTCCCGGGACTCCGGGAGGCTCGCCGGAGTCCGGAAGCCTGAGTGCCTGCGCCCCGCCGTCCTCCGAGCTCCGGGCTCCGGCCCGGCCGCCCGAGCCTGGCCGGGCTCTTACACCAGATATCCATGGGTGGAGGGAAACACGTGAACAAAATATGGAGGGCGAGGGGAGCGGGAGCGGGAGCGGATGTACGAGCAGGAGCAGGAGCAGGAGCAGGAGGCAGGAGCAGGAGCAGGAGCAGGAGCAGGAGCAGGAGCAGGAGCAGGAGCAGGAGCAGGAGCAGGAGCAGGAGCAGGAGCAGGAGCAGGAGCAGGAGCAGGAGCAGGAGAAGAGCGATTGGGGAGGAACAGACTCCACAGTTTTGTGGGAAGAGAAGTTGGAGGAAGAGAAAGACAGGGATGAAGAAATTGAACGGCACAGGAGAGGGGCGGGAGGGGCGAGAGAAGGAAGATGGCAAGTAGGAACATGTAGAAGGGTAAACGGTATGAGAGGTGGAACTGTCAAGAAGGGTGGTGCGGCATTGCCAAATGAGGGGGCATGCCGCCATAGGGGAGGAGGATCCCTGCAATGAGACGGGCAGAATCAGAATCAGTAGCAGCAGAGGGGATCCAAGGATCGATCGCTCTGCCTTACCCTGACTGTTCCTATTCCTACCAGGAATGGAGGCTGACATGGAGGGGGTTATGTGACCCCCAGGATCTTGCTGTCCGATGGCGAATCCGGGTTTATGGTATTATCTGCTCGCCGTCCTCCTCCTCTGTGAGCTATGGCACGGCCCCTGCTACCCCTCACGCGTCCTCTCAGCCTGGCTGCCATGCTCGGACTCCGATACCTCCCACGCCATCGGCCTTCAGCGGGAGCGACACTACATGAAGATCGCACTGAGGGAAGCGCGGCAAGCTCTCAAGCTCGGAGAGGTCTCTTCTCTCTCCTTCTTCCCTTTTATCTCCGGATCGCACCATCCTCCCTCCCCCCTCCCTCCCGCCTCCTGCGTTTTGGGCTAACAGCGCAGCAGCGCGCTAGAGGAGGTAACGCCCCTGCCGCAGGTGCCAGTCGGGTGTGTGGTAGTCTTCGAGGACGAGATCATAGCGCAAGGGCACAACCTTGGCAACACTCTGTACGACGGGACGAGGCATGCAGAGCTGATCGCGATCGACTCTCTCGTTCAAAACTCGGAGTATCACAGGAAGAGGGGTTTCTTCGAGCACAACGAGGACGGCAGCAGGTCGCAAGACAGCTTCCGCCTGCTCGAGGGCTGTGAAGTTTTTGTAACCTGCGAGCCTTGTATCATGTGTGCTTCTGCCCTCGGGTTAGTTTGCTTTCTCCTCCTCCCTCCGCTGCCCTCGCTGCCCTCCCTGTCTTGCCCTCCCTTCCCCTGCCTTGACATGTTTCACTTCCCTCTTTTCTCTTTGATCTGTCTTTCCTCCTCCATTTTGCAACACCATTACTCCTCCTGTTGCTCTAATGGCACGCTGACGGCTGCTGGCAGGCAGCTGAATGTGAAGAGGGTCGTGATGGGGTGCAGAAATCTCTTCTTCGGAGGCTGTGGCTCCGTGATCTCAATCAATGCCAAGAGTGCAGTTAGCGGAGGAGGAGGAGGAGGAGGAGGAGGAGGAGGAGGAGGAGGATCAAGGGAGGAAGGAGGGATGGTGGAGTTGGGCAAGTGTCTGGAGCGAGGCTTCAAGTGTGAGTGGGGAGTGGAGGAGGAGGCAGCGATTGAGCTGCTGCGCATCTTCTACTCGGGAAAGAACCCGAGAGCCCCGAACCCAAAGTTTCGACGGAAAAGCTTCAGGTGAGATTGGAGGGAGCGATGGAGCGAGGGGAAGCGGAGCGAGGACAAGGAGCGAGCGAGGAAGAGGGAGGATGGGGGAGCGGGCGAGGGAGGGAATTACAGTTTGTAGATTTAGGGGATCTGGTGCCAAAGGATCCATAGCTGAATTTGCTGCTGGCAGGCTGCTGGGAGAGGGCCGAGCTGAAAGCCTTCACATGCGAGGAGGAAGGGACAAGCTGGAGGAGGAAGGGGAAGGAGCAGCAGGAGGGTTGGAAGGAGAAGGTGTTGAAAGTAGTGCTGGACGGGAAGAAGGAGCGAGTGGAGGAGGTGAGAGTGGTGCTGGACGGGAAGGAGGAGCGAGTGGAGGAGGTGTTGGTGTTGGTGGTGAGAGTGGTGCTGGACGGGAAGAAGGAGCGAGTGGAGGAGGTGTTGGTGTTGGTGGTGAGAGTGGTGCTGGACGGGAAGGAGGAGCGAAGGGAAGAGGAAGAGGAGGCAGAGGTGCTGGAAGGGAAGGAGGAGCGAGGGGAGGAGAAGGATGTAGTCTTGATGATCTGCTGGGGGCTCCACAAGCAGATGATGATCTTGCTATGTTTGCGGAGATGGCAGCCAAGTACTATGTCGGAGATTCCAATCAGGTGATTCTTCTGCTGTATCGCTCAGCGACGATGGCGTAGATAGCAGCAGCAGCAGCAGCTGCTGCTGCTGCTGCTGCGGATGATGATGATGATGATGATGATGATGATGATGATGATGATGATGATGATGATGATGATGATGGTGATGGTGATGATGATGATGATGATGATGATGATGATGATGATGATGATGATGATGATGATGATGATGATGATGATGATGATGATGATGATGATGATGATGACCACGACGACAATATGATGATGATGATGACCACGACGACAATATGATGATGATGATGACCATGACGATCATGATTATGATTATGGCGATGATGGAAGATAACGCGGTGGTTGTATTGTTGATACCTGGGCAATGTTGATGAGGTTGTTGAGACTGGTGTCTTGTGTTTGTTTTCTAATCGGGGGGGTTTCCTTTCGCATCGCAGACTTCTGTCCCGGTAACAACTCTCGACAAAGTTCAGATCACTTGCAATCTTGCGAGAAGAGCGATCAGGAGGGGAGAGTACCAACCAGCGGAAATCTTGTAAGTGTTTGATTGGTTTGGTAACAGAAAATCAAAATGATGACGAAAGATGAGATGCGTTCGAGAAGGTGACTGCAATGTGAAGGGGATTGCAATCTATTGAGAAACTGAAGATGATGAAAAAGATGTGTCAGGAGGTTGAAAGTGATAAGAATCACCTAGAATGAGGGTTTTGAGAGGAGACACGAGGAATGCTTTCAAGATTAGAGGAAAGCGTGAAAGATTACAGCTATCTAGCTATACAATTAAGGTCAAGAGGATCAACAAATAATGAGCGAGACGAAGAGCGAGATGAAGAGTATGAGGAGGATGAAACTTGTTTTCACATTTGATCTCAGACTCAAGAGGACGATGAGGTCGGACCCGAGTAACATTGAAGCCATCCTGCTGTTTGCTGCTCTTCAAAGGAAGGATCGCCTCAACTCTCACCTCGCTACTCGAGCCTGTTTGTGAGTTGCTTTCTCGTCGTCCTCCTCCTCATCCTCCACCTCCACCTCGTCCTCTATCCTCCTCCTCCTCCTCCTCCTCCTCCTCCTCGCCCTCCTCCTCGTCCTCGTCCTCCTCGTCCTCGTCAGAGTGGGCCGCAAGAGGATTGACCAGCGTTTGACAACAGGAAAGCTCTTCAGCTAGACCCCAGCAACGCGCAAGCTTTCCTGGAGCTGGGACAAGTGAGGATGATGGAGGATGAGCACGAAGAGGCGATCAAGTGCTACGAGCATGTGCGAAGGGGAGGGTGAGAAGTCCGAGGGGCTGACAACCTTGCGGGAACAGTCTTTAGACATCAACTGCACCATGGCTAACAGTCTGATGCGACTCGCTGTTGCGCTTCATGTTGGTGTCTGCCAGGAGGACAATAAGATGACTGACATGTCCAGCGCAGAAGACTATGAGGGATAGGGGGAGGGCAGAGATGTACTTCGAGCAGGTGAGGGTGGGGCAGGAGATCGGCCACATGTCGTTCTAACATGAAAAATGTTAGAATGACATGTGAGCAGTTGATATGAAGATAGATTTGTGTCGATCATGATCTTCATTTCGATGCAATTCATGATCGAGTATGATTCTCATCATACTTTCCGACATTGGAAGTGATCATTTTTTGTTGTAGATGATGTTTGTTGTTACATGTCGTCTCACTGAATCTGTTGTCAACCCTGACCCTGTTTTCTCACATCTCCTCTCGCTCTACATCTCCAGACTCTCTTACTTTGTTTTCCCATCAGGCTCAACAAATGGACCCTGATGACTACGAGATAATGGCCGAGTTTGCATACTTCTTCTTTATGGTCGTCAACAAGCACTTTGAGACGACGAAGATGACATGTTGAATGTCTGCAGGATGAAATGACAAGGGACAGAGCAAGATATCTCATAGAAGTTGCGCAGAACATGTGCACCAAAGACAAAGACAGCGATCATCACGTTGCAAAACGTGTCAAGTCGCTCTATAAGCTCATGCTGTTTGTTCCGCTGGGTGACTTGACGGGAAATGGTGAGCAGATACTCTTGTTGGTGGTGGTGAAGGTGGTGGAGCTGCTGCTGTTGTTGTTATTGTTGTTGTTGTTGTTGATGATGATGATGATGAGGAGGAGGAGGAGGATGAGGAGGAGGATGAGGAGGATGAGGAGGAGGAGGAGGAGGATGGTGATGGTAGTGATAGCATAACATGATCATAATCATGTTGCTAATTCTTGTATCTTCACAGCTGCCATCGAGCCATTGGGCAATCAGACATTCTCATACAACTCGACGGATGAAGACAACAGCGAGAAGAAGATCAATGTTTCGCTCGTACTGTGCGCTCTGCCCTCCTTGACATGTGCGTTGCAGGAAGACGAACTATTTGCAAACCCGAGCATATCAGACTCCGAGTTAGAAGAAAGGTTTTCTGCTTCCCGACCAACATCTCTCGCTCACTTTCAGTCAGGTTGAACAATGCGCGTCGGCCTTCATGGTTGCAAGATGGGGAAAACCAGAAGATTTCATGACATCTTTACCAAGAGTTGTGTTGCATGCTGTTCACGTGTTGGCAAGAATGCGCAAACAGACTTGCATTTTCCTTCCGATTGCCGTTTGCAAACAAGTGTCATTCACCTGGTACTTTGTCAGAGAAGTCGTATGCTATGAGACAAGTCCAACCTGAGTGTTTCTTGCGTTGGATGATTGCTTTGATATGTCACAGAGATGTGAAGCTCGCCGTAGATCTGTTGAGAGCTTCAGACTGACATCAAGTCATGCAAACGATGAGACATCCCACCTTTCATCGCAATGAGAGAAACGAGTTGCAGACTTCTTGCCTGACATTTTGAATCATCAACATTTGCTTTCTCGTCGTCGTCGCAGGCATCATCATCATCACCACCATCATCATCATCAACAACAACAACAATCATCAACAACAACAATCATCATCACCAACAATCATCATCATCATCATCAACAACAACAACTTTAACTCCATCATCATCATCGTCATCGTCATCATCATCATCATCATCATCATCATCATCATCATCATCATCATCATCATCATCATCATCATCATCATCATCATCATCATCATCATCATCATCATCGTTTCACCCGTTGAGATGATGGGTCCAAGTTGATCGCATCCGTGGCAGCCTTGCAAGCATTGCTCCACTCATAACAGAGAAAGTGCGCGACCCCCAACCTTGCGATCACATCAACTTCCCGGACCTCAACAAGCCCTTGGCGCTCCTGATAGATTGGAGGCATGATCCTTTCTCATTGCCCCATTTCCTCCTCCCATCTCTCCTCTCCTCTCCTCTCCTCTCCTCTCCTCTCCTCTCCTCTCCTCTCCTCTCCTCTCCTCTCCTCCCGTTCCTACTCTTGTCGACTCTGCTCCTCTTCTCTTCTCTCGTCCCCTCCCCTTCGCTTCCCTCCTCTCCTCGCGTTCTTTTCCCTCTCACCTCACATGGACATCATGGAACGGCAACTTCAGCACAACACGTTTGCTTGTCCATGCGCGAGCATCGTCAAACATGGTTGCCAGGAGTTGGTTGCAGATGCCAACAGCTTCTTGCCCTCCACAGGCTGTCCGTTGAGATATGAAATGATCTATCCTTGCAATCTCTGCAGAATCTCTGATCAACAGCACCTGACTGAGCACAAGACATTTCGTACCTGTTTGAACTTTGATCATGACTTTCCGCTGTTTGAGTACATCCTCATTGTTGTTGATATCATCGATAAACTCTCTCATGATTCTTTCCTGCCATCACATGACATCTCGCAAAGTCATCTCTGCTCCTTTACCTGCGCAACCTCTCCGATATCGTGCATGATCGCCGCTGCCCTTGACGCGCTGTCCCTTGCCTCCTCGAAAAACTCCTTGTTGAGCAAACTGTCAAACTCTCTTGTAAGTTGCTCCCACTCATTCATCATGGCACAAAAGAGAGCCTGTATGGTCAGAGCAATCTTCATCTCGCCTCCATCGAAACTTACATGCCAGCATGCTCGAACGCGAGTTGACTCTGACGTTTCTTCTCTGCAGTCCTGGCAATCTGAATGGAGTATGCAAAAGCTTGCTCTCTTTGCTGAAACCTGAGCTAGTGAGATGACAGGGGAACAAGAACAAGAACAAGAACAAGAACAAGAACAAGAACAAGAACAAGAACAAGAACAAGAACAAGAACAAGAACAAGAACAAGAACAAGAACAAGAACAAGAACAAGAACAAGAACAAGAACAAGAACAAGAACAAGAACAAGAACAAGAACAAGAACAAGAACAAGAACAAGAACAAGAACAAGAACTCCCTACCTTGCCTTGGGTGTGATTTCAGATAGAAACTCTCTCTCACTAAATATCTTTGCCACACAATCATGATAGTACGAGAGCAACAACTCTGTTTCTTCGAAGTGTTGCTCATGCCTGCCTTCAACCTCTCCTGTTGCCTTGAAGCGCGTCATGCAGACCTACCGATGAAGTGAGAGGAGAAGAAGAGCGATGGAAACCACAACCTGCTCGAACTGGATGACTTGGAGGAAGAAGCGAACAAGGCATTCAAGGGAGCTCGCAGATTGAGCAGCAACAAACCTGTCGAGCAAGGGTATCAACAATGACGCGTGTTCCCTGTCACAACAACCTTGATATGGCTTCTTGAGCTGATCTCCTGTTTGGGAATGATTCACCTTTGCAGGTCATCGGGTTTTGCTCTCACCAGACATTCTCAATCATAGCCTGCAACTCTGCAAAAAGTTGAGAGTCTTCCATCCTTATTCCTTTCTTCTTGTTCTCAACCTCCATGCCTCGTGTCCTTGCAAACTCCTGCACAAGATCGACGAAACGATCGTCAACATAATTTCTTTATGGCTTACAGTCTCAATCTTCATCCCAATCCCAATCTCCATCTCCATCTTCACAGTCTGCATTTCTATCACTGTTTCTTTCTTCGTCCCAATCATCACAACTACATCCTATCTCCACTCCTACACTGCATCCCATCCTCCTCCTCTCAGCACCTTGTAACATCCCTCAACCATCCCTTCGCCTTGATCCCGTTCGTCCACCAACAATTGGATAGCCTTCAATATTCCATCCACTTCCAGAGTCCCCGCAAGAGCTTCTCCATAACTCTCGTCCCGAGTTGTGCACTGCATCTTGGCATCACGGCCAGAGAGCAGGTAAATACTAAGAAAGCAACCAAGGACAGAAGGTATTTCGCCCCGAGATCTTCAGGTTGTTTGCTGATTGACTTGTCTATCTCCATAACTATGTCCTGCAGTCGTCGAGCACTTGAAGATATTGCAAACATGTCAGCACAACACAAGAAATTCCGATAGCAAACAATCTCCTCACGTTCGATGACATGTAAGATTCTCCTCTTCTTCCATGTGAGCCTTGAAGAATTCTCTCTGCAAGTCCAGGCGGAGCATGTGAGTTGTACCGCACACTTTCAGACATGTTGAGAACAAACATGCAGGTCGTTAGCGTGTCCCACGAGCCTCCTTGACCACTGAATCAGCTCTTCATCCACTTGCCTTTCGATGGGTTGGATGGTGGCCAACTTCAACAGAAACATCAGTAGCACCACCATCACCTCCTCGTCCTCGTCCTCGTCCTCGTCCTCGTCCTCGTCCTCGTCCTCGTCCTCCTCTCTCCTCCAATCTTTCCTCCTCTTTCATCTCCCCCTCTCTCCAATTCTTCTCTCCGTCCCTGTGCCCTCCTCCTCCCCAATCCCCTCGTCTTCCTCTTCCACATCTCACCCGCTCCAGCAGGCCTGCAGCCTTCCAGTCTGGCTTCACTTCGTCCAGGAGCTTTCGGGCTGCAACAAAGTCCCTCTCCGCAAATCTTCTCTTTGCATCGCGCAGGCTTAGCTCGCCTGTCAACCATTCACAGCTGCCTCCTCCTCCACTACCACCATCACAACCTCTCCTCCTCCTCCTCCTCCTCCTCCTCCTCCTTATCATCATCATCATCATCATCATCATCATCATCATCATCATCATCATCATCATCATCATCATCCTCTTCCTCGTGTGCTCTGTCTCTCACCTTTTCTGGCCAATCGCGTCAACTCCCATATTTCTGCATTCTCACAGTACTCCGACAGGCTCCTTCCGTACTTGTCTGACCAGACAGGGTCTGCCCCTTTCTCCAGGAGGAATCTTTACAAACTTGTGATTCCATTACGAAAGGCATTCTTCACTTCAAACAGCACAACCACAAGCATCATCGGCACATCGTCACCATTCCATTTTCCCTACATCGCCATAGCAAGAAATGCAGCAACAACTATGAACGTCATGGTTGTCTTCTCCACCATCACCACAGTCCCATTCATATCATAACACCACATCACTGTTATCAACAGGCAGATGAGGATTGCAGTTTTTAGCACCTCACAAGGTGGATGTTTGCTGTCTTGTTCCTTCTGATCGACAGATCCTCCTCCTCTTCTCCTCCCGCTCCATCCCTTTTGATGTCTGACATGATGTAAGGAGGAGGCCAGACATGCTGATCAACCCATCAAACTCAGCACCTGTATACATGCAATGTTACCTCTGGTGACATCACTGCAAAGGCAAGAGGCGGCCACCCGTCTTCAACTTCCTCCAACTACATGATTACAAGTCAGATCTCCCATCCTCAGCCTCTATGCGTCACCTTAGCTGGTAGGTTGATGTCGCGAGCGAATTTCCTGACTTCGAACAAGAAATGACTCCCTTTCACTCCCTCCCATCTTTCACCACCATGTCAGACAGAACCTCGCAGCTCGCATCCTTACAACTCAGTGACCGCGTTCAAGTTCCCCGCTGCGCATGCTGCATGTATGGGAAAACTCTGCGGAGGAACGGCATGACTGGCACTGCACTTTGGCATAACAGCACCCACCAAGTGAGCGTACAGTTTCCACTGCCCAGTATCTTCGTTGGTTCTTTTCAGGCTGCAAGGACCGCACAACCAGCTTCCGTCTGTACAATCGAGCACACCTGTGAGAAGAACATATAGAATGAAGGTCCTGAAGCTTGCTCAAACCTGTCTCATGCAAGAACAACTTATCCATGTCCATCCCGCAACTCATGCATCTCGACTCCTTCATCTTTGACCTGTACACCTCTTGCATCGCCTTGTGCTTGACTTCTGGCAATTCCTTCTGCACAACATGCTGTTAGCTCGGAAGCTGTCAAACTCTGCTCTAAAACGATCTGCAGACGAACCTTGGAGCCGGTTGCTCCTGCAGCTCCTGCAGCTCCTGCGGCAGCTCCTGCAGCTCCTGTATTCCGAGGGCTCTTCATCCTTGAATGTACGGTGATTGTACTACCCGTTTCTCGCGGCTTCTCAGCCTACCTCCAAACAAATGTAAGATACTCTCCCTAATCTCAGAGGTCGCTGCCTTCCCTTACTCATTCACTCGCTAACTCCCTCCCTCCCTCTCTTCCGAAGTTCCTCCCTCACTCACTCACCCGCTAACCGTTTCTGAGTCTCCCTCCCTCCCTCCCTCCTTCCCTCCTTCCATCACTCACTCACTCGCTCGCTCGCTCGCTCACTCGCTAACTCCCATCCGATCCCTCCCTCCCTCCCTCCCTCCTCTCCCTCCCTCCTCCCTTTTCAAAGTTTTGACTCGAGCCTGTCGGGCCGCGCAGGCCCCCCCGGGGCCCCCACGGCCGCCCGGCGCCCGCCCGGCCGATGCAAGGCCTGTGACTCAGACTGCGGATCGGAGTCTGAAAGAGTCAGCCCGGCCCGGCCCCGGCCCGGCCGGGGCCGCTGAGGGCCGGGGCCGGGGCGAGACCCGCCGGGCGGCCGGACTCGGACGGCCGGGCGTACGCCGTAAGATCCGCCGGCGACCGTAACTAATCACCCCGCGTTCAAAAGGCTGGCAGGCTGAGCCTGGGACTCTCCGAGCTAAGGCAAGTTCCGGCGGAATGGCCCAATGCCGCGCGGCGCGCGACTACGAGCCGACTGAGCCCCGGGCGACTGCCACCGAGACTCGTACGGTCTCGGATCGCCGGACTGAGTCCGGCGGCCGGGCGGGCCGCGCCGGGCCGCGGATCGGACCGTCACGGTACTCCCGGGAGCCCGGCCCTCCCCGGGCAGGCGGCCTGGACGGTACTATACGGTACGGCGGTACTCAGCGGCGGCCGGCGGTACGGTCCCGGGCCGGGCCGGGCCGCGGTCGGAGCCTCCGGGCCCGCTCAGTGCCAGCCTCATGATTCCAGCCGCCGGGGCCGGCTGGCCGCCGAACGGCCCGTTCAAGTTAGTTATATCAGTTGATTGGTTGGCGGTGACCCGGCTGAGTCAACACCAAGTCCGCCTCACCCCTTCGAGGACACCACACCCTCGTACTGATTTTTAAGTTAACTTTGAGTAAAGAAACCACACCCTACCCATCTGGTTCAATCACCCCCACCTATCCAAACTACCACCCCTCCCTTCTACCGTCGTACCCTCACACCACACTACCTACCCATTCCTCCATCCCTCTTGTCCCCTGTATTCCCACCCCCCCAACGCTAAAGTTGCAGATTGCATATGAACCCACCCCTGGTGTGAGATCCAATACGCAGACCACCCCGGTAATTCACCACCCCATAGTTGTAGTTTGTCCCTTTGACTACCCCCCAGATCATAACCCCAGCGCTGCCCCCTTTTGGGTTTTCCATCTCTCCACCCCCTTTCCAACGGCAGACTTTCCAATTTGCGAGGACCCCACCCTGGGAGATCCCCACATAATTCCTAGAGCACATGGGTACAAACATATTTCGGTTGTACGGGGGTGGGTAATCCGTAGGGTACCCCCTAGTTGTGCACTACCTGGTGTCGATATTGAAAAACCACGTGGGGTGGTCTGCAGTACCGGTACTTTTGTCAGTGCGATGTTTGAGTCAACCTGATGGGGTAGGGGACCCCCACCGGGAATCTTCGACAACCAAAATTTGAATTTGAGGTACCCCCTACCCACTTTCCCAAACTTTTACGGATCAAGAGCCACTTCGGTTTTCTGATCCATATAGATGTGAATTTTCTCGTATAGACATATAGTAAATTATGGTATACCCTCTTTCTCTCCCTTTCTATTCTCACTCACCTCCCCCCTCTGTCCCCACTACCCCAGCTTTTGTGTTCTGGTCAGCCATCTTTGCAGGTAACATAGTACCCCTACCCCTAAATTTCCCCTTCAGTACCCCACCCGTCAGGCACAGGCTCTGCCACCTCGACGCGTCCTCTCCGTCCTTCCGCCGCGGCCGCGGGAAGGCTGATGAAATCGATGGGGAGACGGGAGGATGACGGAGGAGGAGGAGCTGGAGGAAGAACGAGAAGGATATGATATATAGTGATAATCTCTGCTTCAAAGTTTGGTGCTTGGTGGATGTGTGCGAGACACGAAACCAGCTGTAGATACTCCATAACTGGTTTGTGTCCCATCTGTGATTTGAAAATTTGTAGCTTTAAGCAACGAGTGTTTGATAGAACCCCAGAAGTCCAACACAAGCAAGTCTTTGGAGACAATTAATGATGGATAGCTATGGCTTGGCTGGTTTCTTCATCTTTGCTGTTTGCTCCTGAATAGCAAAGCTCGTTGAGATAGATTTGTGCAAGTCCTTCTTTGTTCCAAAAGAATGATGCTACTGTTTGATCTCATGGATCGCATTAGGGTTGACTACTCTGATACGATATCATGAAGCGCCTGATCAGAACCTTGTTTAGTTTCTAATTCCTTATTGCCCACTGCGATGAAAATCTGTTGCGAAAGCCTGACTGGTATGGAAGTTGACAGCAAGTTGGCGGAAACATTGATTACGCTGAGACGCTTTCGGCTGCGTCCTTGTAAACCATGTCTCTGTGAGTATTCTCTCCTTCACATGTGTTGCATGGATGGCTGAATGTCCCGTAATCGCAGGTACAGTTCAGAGTCATCTCGAGGATGGGTTTCTTTCAAAGATGCCTATTGGGAGGAATGCGAGGTAACTTTTTCGACGTGGAGTCATAGCAGTCACGAGCCTTGCGATGTAGGTGACGGACAGTAATGATACACAATTGACGCTTCGCTTGTCCAACGGTCAAGTGAAATCTTTCCCAAGAAAGCAGGTGAAAGACCACTCGAACCTAAACCAGGTTTCACGCGTTCTGAAATTCCCATGTCGCAGATTCAGTTTTGTTATCGAAACCCTAGTGCAGTGGAAGCAGCAGATGACTTTCTTACGCTTCCTCATCTTGACGAGCCGAACATCCTGCACTCCCTCCGCGTTCGCTATTGGCAAGGTTATTGATTGGTCTCAGATTATCGACTCCGTTCAAACTTGTTTGCTTGTCAGGCCATGTTTATTCATACACTGGGCCCATTTTGATCGCTGTGAATCCTTGGAGACAAGTAAGAGTCCTTTCCTTGAATGATTGCAACTGAAGGATTGTCGCTAGGTGGACATCTACAACATTAATGTCATGGAAGCATACAAGGCAGGTCGAACGAAAGCACCTCACATTTTCGACATTGCAGCCAAATCATATCGGTATTGTCTATTCTCGTGATCTGCTTTGCTCATCCCGATTGCACAGATCCCTTGTTGGAGACAGGAAAAATCAGTGTATTCTCATCTCTGGAGAGTCTGGTTCTGGCAAAACCGAAAGTACCAAGTTTGTGCTTCAAGTTTTGACAGCAGTTGGCGAAAACCGCACGGGTGCTTCTGCATCCATCGAACAACAGGTCATGCTTACCAACCCAGTATTGGAGGCTTTCGGAAATGCCAAAACTTTGAGAAACGACAACTCCAGTCGTTTTGGCAAATGGATCAATGTCCATTTCGATCGCAAAGGCACGATTGCTGGAGCTGAGATCAAAACATATTTGCTTGAAAAGGCTAGGGTTATCCATCAAACAGCGGGTGAGAGGAACTACCATATTTTTTACCAAGTTTGCGGTGCATCTTCACAGCAAAAGATGTTGAAGGATCTCGGCCTTGCTGAGGCAACCAATTTCAATTATTCCAAGACATGTCTGACAGCTTCTGGTATTGATGACACCAAGAGCTTTGACAGGACGAAGCAAGCATTGCACTTCATTGGATTTGATGCAGCAAGTCAGCAAAATATTTTCGCAGCAGTTTCAGTGGTTCTTCATGTTGGGAATCTAAGGATTTCTGAAAATTCGGATGGTAACGCTGTTATGGAGACTGATCGTCACTTGCAAGCTGTTTCGCAACTGCTGAGGGTTGATCCCAACGCTGTGAAGAAAGCTATTTGTGAAAGGATGATCACAGCTGGAACAGACGTTATGATGAAGCCAGAAACAGCTGAAAAAGCAAATCAATGCCGTGACGCTTTGGCTAAAGCCCTGTACTCGAAACTTTTCGACTACATTGTAAAATGCGTCAACACGGCCTTGAAATTGAAGACCAATACTGTTACGATGCAAGTTTCCGTTTTGGATATTTTCGGATTCGAGGTATTTGAGAGCAATCATTTTGAACAGTTCTGCATCAACTATGCGAACGAAAAACTGCAGCTGCACTTCAACCACTACAACTTCATGCTTGAGCGCCAGTTGTATGCCAAGGAAGGCATTGAGTTGGTGGAATCGGATTTTGTTGACAACAGTGGCTGTGTTGATCTCATTGAGGCGAAAGGCTGGGGTGTACAGGCTTGTCTTGATGACGTCTGTATCATGCCCAAGGGAGATGATGCCACCTTCTTGCAGAAGCTCATTCAGACCCCGCAAATCAAATCTAATGGCCATTTTGCTGACCCTAAGAAAAACAATCGCAGTTTTATTGTGAACCACTATGCTGGTTCAGTAGCGTATGATATTGATGGTTTCTGTGAGAAAAATAAGGACATCCTTGCCGTTGACCTCGTTCAGATGCTTCAGACTTCCTCGTCAAAGTTCTTTGAGCAGATTTTCGACAACTCAGCTGCGGAGGCAGCAGCTGCTTCGATGAAACCAGGACGAAAGGGAGGAGGCGGAGGTGGCAGTGTTGCGTACAAATCTGTTTCTGCCACATTCAAGACCGACCTATCCTCGCTGATGGAAGCGATCAATGCAGCTGATCCTCACTTCGTCCGTTGTGTGAATCCGAACGCTGAGAAGAAAGCGAGTTTGTTCAATGACCAAAAGGCCATCGAACAGCTGAGATGTGGTGGTGTCATTGAAGCTGTAAGAATGGCGAGGGAAAGCTATCCAGCTCGTTTTGTACATCATGACTTTGTTGGAACATTCGCTGTGATCTGTCCCGAAGCTTGCAAGATGGGCGACAGCAAACAGCAGTGCTTGGCAATGGTCCAGCACATGAAGCTTGCACCCAAGCAATACCGTTTGGGCAAGACTATGATCCTCTTGAAAAGAGAAGCCGTGGATTTGATGGAGAAAGAACGCGCACGACTTCTTGGTGGCAAGGCTGTTATTCTTCAGAGTGCTGGCCGCAGGTATCTCATGGCATTTCCGCTTCACACATACTAAGCTGGGAACAGGTTTTTGGCAAGGCTTGAGCTTGCTCACAAGCGAGAAATGCGTAGAAGATATCTTTCTGTCGTGCGCCTACAGGGTTTTATTCGTTGCTCCTTCACGCGTGCCAAGTATTCAAAGATGGTGCAGGTCAGTTTGCCTTTTTCTGATCTGCTTGTTTGCTCTGGATGACGACATATGTCTGTAGGCTGTGCGTTTGCAGGAGAAAAAGAGACGCGAAGAAGAGGAGAAACGACGACGGGAAGAAGAAGCACGCAAAAGTGCAGCAGCTGAGCTTCAACAGCAAGTATGATCTTTCTTCTTGTCCTCGTCTTCAGTGATCGGTCTGTCAGCAAGCAGCTGATGCCGCGACCCAGCGTCAAGCTGCAGCTCAGAAAGCCAGTCAGGTACAATCTTGTGAGGCTGTACGTGCTGGTAGGCTGATCTTTACTTGAAGGTTGCTGCCAACTCCAGAGCTGCAGTCTTGGAAGGGCTTGAGGATGAAGGATCAGATGAGGGCGAAGGCGATGCCCAGGATGTCGAAGGATACATCGAAGACGAAGGGAAGGATGAGCCCTCAGACACTCCTGAGGACCTCGCCATCACTCCGGCTGACAACAAAAGGAACCAAGCTCTCACTGCGCCCGACGACGTTCCGCCTGTTTCCCCACTTTGTATTCGCATCCAGGTGTTTTTCATTTCATCTCTCGTGTTACGACGAGTGTTACTGAACTGTTGTTAGGTTCACGCCGAAGGCATCACGGAAGCCCTCTTGTTTCATGTTGATCTTTTGGCTTCGGCCATCAGGCAGGCAGTGATGATCAAAGACCACAAGTCTTTCTTGAAAGTTCATCCGAATACTTTTCGTGGACAAGCTGCAATTGAATGGTTGCGAGGGCATGCGGCTCGTGCTCTCTTTGGTTCCGAAGCTGAGAAGGAGAAGAACCAGCAACTCTCGAGGTCCGTTGCACTTCTGTTGGGGCAGAAACTTCTTGCAGTCGGAGTCTTCAGACAAGTTACGGGCTCTCTCACAAAGCCCCTCGAGGATCCCAACGCTTTGTTCAGGTTCCACGAAGATGAGAAGGAAGGCCCTCTATTGAACTGCAGATCAATCTGGTTCCAGAATGCTCGAGAACCTCTCCTGGTGGTTTCAGAGCTTCTGTACACGATGCTCAATCTCAGGTTGAGCTTGAGTAACCGCCCTGGATACGATCTGAAGGATTCGGAGGAATTGAACAACTTTACCGCTGCTGCTGCTGAATTGCAGTTGGTGAATATCAACGATCTAAGCAGAATACAGCTCCTTGCCTTCTTCCTCAATGCCTACAACTTGATGGTTTTGCATGCTCATGTGGTGAGAGGAAGCGTGGACAACACAGACTTCAAGTCTCAGAAGATTCCCTTCACTCGCGACAACCAATACATGATTGCTGCTTACAACTATTCGTTGGCGGAAATCGAGGTATTCCGCTCAATCATCTGTTGGTTGTCTGCTAATGGGTTGGGCAGGAACGATTGTTTTGTAGAGTTCTTCGCGCAAAGTTTCCGAAGAAATCGGACAAGAGCCGGGCACCTGAGCCTCGTGTACATTTTGCGTTATCTTTGGGGTGTGCATCCTCCCCCAGAATTCGCATTTACCAGCCTGAGACACTGGATGAAGACTTGCAGCAGGTGAAACTAAATGCCCTTGTCTTAACGAAGACTCCTAACCTTGCAACAGGCTGCGATAGAATATTTGACAACCAATGCCCCCAAGAACCGCCTCCGCATGCAGCAGGCTGCGTCCTTCTCGGGCTCGGGGCGAAGAGTGTGCGAAGTCGTCCTGCCAAAGATCTTCAAGTGGTACAAAGATGACTTCGGCTTCAATAAGCAGGAGATCCTTGTAAGAGAGTTGATGCGGCATGCTTAGGGATCCTGACATGTCTGTAGGCCTACTATGCTTCATTCATGCCGGAAGGAATGAAGGAGGAGCTCATGGACGTGGCGCGATCCAACAACTTCATTATCAAATACGACAAGTTCGACTGGAACCTTCACCTGACCAAGGCTTGCTCTGAGGCATCTCGACAGCCACAGAGGTTGATTGCCAACCACTCCTCCCATGACAAGCATGGCCCGTCGGATGCCAACCCGACCACCCTCGGCGCAAATCAGGTGTTCACTCCTTCGCTTCACGAGAGCCAGGGTCGCCCCAACATCTCTGACAAGGTTTATAATCAGGTGATTCCTTCTTGTCCTCCCTTGTTCCTCCTCTTGCTATGTTCCTTTCCAGGTTTGGTTTTAACTGTCTTCGCTTGCAGGCTGGTCGTGCACAGCCTCACCAGGCACCGGGCGGTCGCCCGATGCAGCAGCAACAGATGCCTCCTGGACAGAAGGGGCCCATGTCTCCGGCCAACATGTACAAAGTTCCAGCTGGTCGAGGTGGCGCGGGCGGAATGCCTGGGCCTGATGGCCGCGACGACTCGGGAGGGTTCATGTGCTGAGCTAGCGTAGCTCCAGTGAGCTTCTCGTCTTGTGCCAAACTAACTGATTCCGGCTCTAGAGTTCACGTCTTGTTGAAAAGATATGAATCTGAACTAAATTGCACCACATGATTTCTTTCACTCCCTTGATCTGCTTGACCCATCAGTTCTCGTCTGACCTCTGCTAGTGTGGGCACTGCTGTCACGACCGTACGGCCGCCCGGCGGCTACTTCAGTGTCAATGAGATGCAGGCTCGGCGCAGCCTCGTGTAGGTCTAGTAGGTCCTTGCGTGCCGGACGGAAACTCGGGCATGGAGGAATATCTCACTAAGGTGATGAAGATGGCGGGAGGAGGATGGGAAGAGGAGAGAGGAGACGAGGTGGACCAGCTGCCGACCGCCTCTTGTTTCATGCGACCTTGACCAGCTCCTGTTGCTCCTCACATTGGTTGTTACCGACCTTGACAGCTAGAACCAAACTGAATCAGTACATGGATGTACGACCAGTGGTTGTAGTAGCGTCCAGCTGCCCCTAGTTGCAATGGAGGAGAGCGACGAGAGAGCGATTGAGCAAGAAGATGCTGATACGGGGGAGACGCTAGATGAGACTCTTGACCAGCATTTCAGTCATCTCACACTAACTGTTGACGGCCTCGGGTCCTCAGACTTGCTTTCAAGTGTTGATTTGGAGTCGCCGGACGCGTCGACAGCCGTCAGAGCACAGGAGCCTCTTGTAAGCGAGTGCTTCTCCCAGAAGTTCGAGATCCTCCGCACCCCCGAGCGCTCGCGCAATCGCTCGCACATGTTGGAAGATGGGCGGGGGAGCGCGGAGGGGGAGCTGGGGTTGTGGCATGAGCTGATCAGCAAGACGTCGCCGTCACGATCATCGATAGAGGAGGCGCTGCGAGCAAGAAACTCAATCAGCGTGGAGGAGGCGAACAGCGAAAGCTTCGACGCGAGTGACGGGGGGAGGGATCCTTACGGGAACGGCAACAAGACCTCGGATGAGGTGAAGAGAGCTTGTGAGATAATGGCGGACCGGGCGAAGCAGGACATGATGGCCTTGGAGCGAGAGCTGTTGGAGTTCACGAGAGAGATGGAGCTGAACTTCATTGTCGAGAAGAACGAGTTGACGTCCATGTACGAGGATCAGGTGTGGAGGCTGAAGCAAGATCTCTACTACGCTAGCCAAAAGGAGTGCCAGCTGCTGGAGGAGCTGGACGAGACGCAGCAGAGGAATCAGAGCTTGCAAGCGGAGAACAAAACTCTGCGGCAGAAGCTGCTCGAGAGCCGGATAGAAACAAGCCGACTGTCTGAAGACTTGGAGGAGGCATCCAGCGCTATCTACCAGATGACAGCAGAGTTAGAAGAACTCTCTGCTCAGAACTCATCCAACATGGACAAGTTCCAATCAGAGAACAAGTCGATGGAGCGAAGGCTGTTTGTAAATAAGTGGGAGAATGACCGGGTGTTTTATCAACTCAGCGACGAGCTGAGAAGTGCTGAAGAGAAACTTGCCGGTGTGGAGAGCAGTCTGCTGCAGGTGCAGTCAGCAACTTTGCAGCTGCAAGAAAGAAACCAGAGCATCGAGCATGCCCTGAGCACTTCAGTGCACGAGAACAAGTTCTTGAGCTTCAAGGTCAAGCAGAAGTCAGAAGAGTGTCTGAAGCTGCACGTCAAGGCTGTTGATGACGTGTCGAGGATGGAGCATTGCTTCGACGTCAACCGCTCAGCCCAGCTGGTGGAGTTTGCCAGAAGAACCTCGTCAAATGAGAGGCAGCATAGTTCTCAGCTCGCCAACCCCCACCTCTTGGCGACGTGCCCGGCTGACCCAGAGGATGATCAAGAGTGGATACAAGAGATGATTCGAGAGCACGACGAGGAAGTGAAGTCCTTGCGCTCCCAGCTGGAGTCAATCTATGTGACGCTTGACAAGGCGAAGCAGTCGGAGACTCTGCTCTTCCCCTTCACGCTCGAGATCTTCAAAGAGCTGAACTTCATGGGACATGAGCTCGACAAGGTCAAGCAAGAGACGTATCGGTACTTCAAGCAGCATGTCCGATCGAGCGAAGTCGGCATGACTGAGAGCATGGAGGTGTTGAGAGGCTTGCTTACAGACTTGTACCAGCTGTGTGTCGGGATTGAGATGGCGACGACTGGAGGCAAGAGCTTCAGCTTCTCCTTCTTCGACCTCCTCCTCAACGCCTCCTCTGACCTCAGACTCGACAAGTTTCACCCGGAGCTCCAAAGCTCCTGCCAGCAGCTCTGCTGCGCAATCTCGTCAGGGCTCGACAAGCTTGCGGGCGGTAGGAGCTCACGGGGAAGTGGCGGCATGGGCGAAGGTTTCGTGACTCCCATGGCTGCTGTAAGGCGACTACCTAGCGGAGGGTTAGAGGACATGTCGGTGTTACCCGCAGCCCGCATGCTCTCCTCTCAGCTGTCAGAGTTGGATAGAGAGCTCAAGGACCTGTTCACGAGCATGCTGCAAGAAAAGCAGCCGAGACAGGTAGCTAGGGCTGCAAGGCCAACAGATAACTTGAAAGATGCGACAAGCGTGCTCGAAAAGAAGATCGCAGCAGGGCTGCACATCCTCGACTTGGAGGAGATCTCCTCCTCGCAGGGCCAGACCCATCCAGCAGAGCGGGACGAAGAGGAAGAGCTGGAGGACATGATCGCTCTAGCTGTGTCGTCTCTTCGGCTGCACCTGGAGACTATGGAGGAGATGTGCAAACTGAGGCTGGAGTCACTGTATCACAGGAAGAGATTCGCTGAGTGGATGGACGTTGTTGGACATGAGATTGCTGAGCTCCAGTCCTCCGCTCGGACTCTCTTCCTCCCCTGCTCTCATCGCCCTGACTCGGCCGCTGTCTCTCTGTCTATCCTGCGAGCTGTGGTGATCCGGTCCGAAGAGCCTCCTTCCCTCCTCCAAGTCACCATCTTTGCCATGTCCAGCAGGTCAGCTACACTGACGGAGACGCTGAAGACGAGCATGACGCGAGTGGAGGAGTCACAGGTGAAACTAACTGGAGGTGAAGGCTCCTGCTCCTACTCATCGTGCCGCAGGGTCAACACACGGCGACATGGCAGGAAGCGGCGAGCTCTCTGCGCCTTAATGACGACAAGGTCATGCTGACCTGTCACGGTGTGATGGGACGGGCAAGAGGAGGAGGGCGAGTAGGCATCCCCAAGATGATGGGGCAGACTATCACTACTCCCTCGAGGCTGTGGCGGCAGAGTAGAGGAGGGAGAGTTGAGGTGACGCTGGAGGATCGGGGAAGGCAGAGCGTCAAACTTCTTCTGCATCTCAACGTGCAGTCATCAGAATGAAAGAAACTCGGCGCATCTTGACCTGACTCGCCTACGACAACATAGGTGCACTCCCTCTCTCCACTCAAACCTCACAAACAACGCCTTCACATCCGTGATCTCGCTCCTTGACCCTCCTCTTCTTGGTTCCTCGTCATTTCCCTGTTTCCCTATCGCTCTTGCTCATTCATGGTTTGTTTCATTCACTTGGGACTGTGACCTATCGAGATTTCACATCACTTTATCCCTCCATCTGACCGCTCTGAGCTTGACGGATGATCTGAAGGAGCGAGGATCCGACGACCACAAACAAGAAGAAGGCAAGTACAATCTGAAGGAGAGGATGAGACAAAGAGGAGGGCGCAAGAGCTTTCTCACCGGTCCGACAGTGAACTGCTTCTCCTTCTTGGAGGCTGACAAGCAACTCAGGTCAGATATGAACATACCAGCTTCTGCAAGGATCACAAACGAAGTGGTAGAGAGACGGCTGAATCATTTCTACCAGACAGGGAGGCAAAAAATCGACACAGGGGGGGGGGGGGCTCGTATGGGAGTTTGTAAACAAAACAATCAGGCACTTACAGAGCTTCACATTCCCCCGCTTGTTGATGTTCGAGTCAAAGCGTTCACTCTTCTGCTTGAGACTTCCTTTCCTTGATCCAGACATGGCTATGTGAGATTTTGAAGAGAAATGTCTGAAACAACAAACAAGTTAGGAGTGCGCGCTTGTGCAGAAGGAAGACTGGTTAATAAAACGGCCACCATTTCGTCATGAACTCAAATTCTTCTGATTCCCCTGCGATCATCCTGAGCTTGCCCTTGCTTGGTGCGATTCTAGACTATTTTCCACCATGCATTTAACTTGTTATCATTACAGCCCTGCTCGCTACCTCCTAGCTCCCGAAACTGCCCCTCGCCACTCCACGCTTCATTCGTTATCAATTCGTTTGTATGCAAAGACTTGTTCCATCCATTACAACCATTGAGCGCATGGACAACAGTCAGAATATCCCATGAGAGCACAGAAATTTCTCTGTTCTCCCCTCCCTCCCCTCCCTCCTCTCCCTCCCTTGCACGCATGCGTTCTCGTGGGTTCCTCCATATTTCCCCCCGCATGTTAACCCGTCCCCCGTCCTCCAAGGGCGGACCTCAACACATTGTCCATTTACATTAGTACCCCAATAGAAGAATCTGTATTCTCTGTCGCTGCCCTCCATGCCTCAATAAAGTGGCCTCATCCCCGCTCACTTCACTCCCTTTCAGACGTCACCCATGGCCTCAGCTCGAGCAGCACTACCCCCTACCCCCTACAACCTTACTACCCTACCCTTTATTGTCAACGCTTTCCCCATTGGACCACCCACAATTTATCCACCCCAACCCCATAGTTGATTTGTAACCCCTATCCCAAAGGCCCCTACCCTGCTACTCCCCTCCTTGTCATTCACCCTACCCCCTTTTTCAATATTTAATGGCACTTGGTCGGACGATTTTGTTTGTGAATCAAAGGGTCCTGACTCTGCCATAATTTACTATAGCATGATTCGGTAAATTTCATCTCTTGGCATGATTTGTTTACAGAACTTCCAGATTCGACGACCCCCACCTTTTTTAGATTATCATTTTTCATACCCACCCCTACATTTTGGATCATGGTAGTTGTTCTAGAACCTGGTAGTGAAACCAGTACCAGGGGGTGCATCAATCATGGTAGTATCAAAGTCATTGACTATAATTGTTTCGGTACTTCTGCTCTCAAAACTTACTACGGAGTTAAGTGAAGGTATCAGTTAAGTTTGGGGTGAACAAGTACGAACGGGAGTTTGAGCCGAGTACTCGGCCGATCGGACCGATCGGACCGTCTCGGGAGTCCAGGTCCCGAGTCACTGACAGTGAGTCCCGGCTACGGCGGGGGCCCGGGGGGCGGGGCCCAGCAGTCCGACACTCAGGGCAGAGCCCGGCTTGGTTTGAACCGAGTGAGTCACCGGCGCCGCCGGGCCCGCGCCCGGGCCGGCACGGTGTGTGTGTGTGTGGGGGGGGGGGGGGCACGGTTCACGGTTCACGGTTACACTACCGTACGGTATGACGCCGCCGTCGGACCGTCGGTCCGGCGACTCCCGCGGCCAGTGAACTGCCCGCGGCACGCGTCACGCGCGTGCCTCTGACTAACTACCACTCAGTAGCCTCCGGACTCCTCCTGGCACTGGCAGTCCGACTCGCCGCCGAGTCGGCCGGGGCCGCGGCCGGAGTCAACCGGGCCCGCGGCGCGTTGTCCTGGCCGCCGCACAGTACGGTTACGGTACTACTGGTGACCGGGCGGACACACTGACCCGTCCGACTACGGGCGAGTCACCACTGTGACTTGGCGGGCCCGGGCCAATCGCGGCCGCTGGACTCCGCCGGCGGATCCCGGCCCGGCCGATTCTGAGGTCAGTGATTGTGAAAATTTTCTAATAAAATATTCATTCAACTTCATCATCTTAGATGGAAAACAACACTTGAAGGGCGCTTGCCGTTTGAAAAACTTGAAAGGCTTCACTGCGGCAGTTGAAATATACTATGATACTCGTTGAACTCGGAACCATTGGTCGTCTTGTCATTCATCTAAATCGGCTCCATCAGCGAATTGTGTGCCCTTGACCGATCAGAACCCTAGCTCAATGTCTTCGTCCGTTAGCCGCATAAATAGAGCCAACCACTCAGGTGTGAAGAGCCTTTCTCCTGAAAGCGGAGCCTGCCGCAATCCATCTATCTCTCCCTGCTTCTCCTCGCCTTGTCCATATTGGTCGTCACGATTATGAGGAGAATTAAGTTCAAGATAGACGTTCCAATCCTCGTTTCTGTCTCCTCCACTTTGCTCTTCCTCGTCGACTTGATCGAACATCGTGGTGTCACTTTGACTCTCTGTGCCATCTACAGAACTCATCATACTAGGAGACTGTCCGGGGCGGACGGCAATCTGATCTTCCTCTACTTCTCCTTCTATCTGACGTGCGTCCAGACTGCTGTACGTCCTCCTCGTGTACGGCCAGCGGGCGATGCCGATACGCCTGCAAGCGCTCTTGAGGCTCGTAAGAGACACGCCCTGATCGCATCGCACAGTCAGCCAGCGCACAGCACAAGCATGGTGGGGCCTCACCAGGAAGGCGGCGGCGTCCTCTTGACTACGGGAGAAGAGAGGCTGCAAGGATTCGAGGGAGACGCTGACGGGGGGGAGGAGATCGCCGGGGGTAGAGCGAGATGTGTTGCGAGGGCGGGGGTTGATGGTCACGACTTGAGGAGGAGGAGGAGGAAAGGGAAGGTGGGCAGGAGGGATTGCCATATGTGCAACTTGCTCAGCAGGGACTGGAAGGACAGTGAAGTGAAGGGAGGTGTCAGTGGATGGAGCAAGGACGACGGGAGAGAGGGGGAGATCAAGGAAGTCAGACAGACGAGACTCCGCTGCTTCCCCTGGCCAAGGGTTGCTGATTTGCCAGCGGTTTGTGAAACTCAAGGATTTCGAATCGAGAGGTCTAGAGCTTCTGTGAAATCACGTCTTTTTGATATTTGGGGATGCCCGCAACTTTTTCAAAACTGAAATATCGCCATTTCATTGGGATACCTTTCGGCTGTTTTTAGGCGAACCAGTCATACGAGGTACACTTTTAAACCCTCCACAGAAAGATATTCAACCTAAAAAGGCTTTACGAGGCGGCCCTCCGAGCAATTATTATTCAACGGCCGGTGCTCCGCCGGGGCGCCGCCCGGCCAGGCCGCGGCCCGCCGCCGGCACTGCCGCCGGAGGCAAGGCTCACTGAGTCAGCGGCTAGCGGCCTGCCCGCGGCCAGTACGCTGGGGCCACTACTGGGCCCCGACTCGGTGTGCGGCCCCCGATCGGATCATTGGGCCAGATTCGGAGGCTCACTGTCAGCCGCGTGATGGCCTGGCATGCGGTACTCACACTGGCCGCAGGCTTCACTGCCCGGCGGGACTCAGTGAAGACTGCGGCCAACGACACAGGCAACTCTGAGAGCGACACCTTTGATCTATTACTTCAGTGCGGCCTGGTACTAGCAGCGAGCACTGGAGCGGCATGCTATCAGCGTGATCGTGCGCATGTCGGAAGTCATCTGTCCATGAGGCCCATTGTGCGCAGAGTCTTCATCATCGCCGGTACATCCACAGGCTCACCCTGTTAGGACGAGTCAAGCAGGAAGCCAGGAGGGTTTCTCTTAAAGAAGGTTTTCTCTTACCCTCTCGAAGCCTCCAGACTCGCAGTAGATCCAAATCTCTGACATGAGCTGCTTCAGCTTCAGCTTGAGGTCGTGCACCTGCTCCCTGAGCTCCTCAGGCTGGAATGATGAGAGTCAGATTGCGAGCAACCATTTCAAGAACAGGAGGTGCGGGTCGGGGGAGGAGGTGGAGGAGGGAGAAAGGGAAGGAAAAGAAAGGAAGAGGGAGAGAGGAGATAGGAAGAGGCAGAGGGAGGGAGGGAGGGAGGACGGCACCCAAGGCTCGTCAGGTTCGTGTAGCTCGGTCTTCATCTTTCCAAGCTCTATGAAATGCGAGCGAAGCTCTTGTCCTGCCAGTCTTGCCGTCAGCCCGCCCAATCACGACTCAGAGCAGTAGGTAGCTGCAAGAGCGACCAAACAAAAGGAAGAGCATGGCTGGATATGATGGAAAGGCGTGCGCAGCCTAGACAAGGAAGAGGGAAGAATAGTTGCGCTGGAAGGCAGCTTGTGAACGTGGAGGATGGGGAGCGGAGCAGGGGTAGGGGAAGGGGAGAAGGAGCACCTGTACTCTGTTGCTCCTCTGGGTTGTCGAACTAACAAAAGTGATTAGAATCTTCCCCTGCTGCTCCTGCTCCTACTGAAGCCCTCCCCCCCCCGTCACTCTCAACTGAGCTCCACCTCCCTCTTCCTGTCCAACCACTCCACTTGTTCCTCTGGTTCTCCTCCTCCACTTCCTCCGCCGTCACCTTGCGACCTACAACACTCTGAAAGAAGTTCTCCGCAGTTTCCATCTACAAGTTGAAAGTGACAAGCATGCTCGGTGCACTCCAGTCAGCACCTGCCGCCTGAAGCTCTTGAGCAGCGAAGGCTCAAGCCCTCTGACCCCCTCCTCGTCCGCCGAATATTCTTCGTCCTCCTCGTCCTCCTTGTCTTCCCCCTGCAGCTCGTTGTCTCCAAGAACAATGTCTTGCTCCGCCTTTCCTCTCCCCTTCGATTTCTTCTTCCACATCTCAAAAGCCGCGGAAAGCACTTGGGCGTTGTCTCGGAATTTCTCGCCTCCTGTGAAGTTGAAGTCGAAGGTGTAGTTCTGATCAATGTAGAAAATTTCAGCACGCGGCATTTCAAGTCAGCTTATCGACCTGAATATCAGACAAATTTTGCCGATATTGCCTCATCTCCTTGATCAACTGAAAAATGTCTCACAATCAAAAAACGCGATATCATGTCTAATCATAAAACAAAACCTTCGATGATCACATTCTCTAACAATACTTCTCCTCACCACTCACAATCCAACACACAACCACAACCACAACCATCATCAACTTCATTTTTGATTGAGCAAGACCTGACCTGGGGATTGACGGGGTGTTGTTGTTTATACTGGAGATAAGCTCTTTCAATGTCCTTCTGGACTTGTGAAGAATCTTGTTGTGAATCCGACCATTCCAAGTCATCCTTTCCTTCCTTTACAGCATCCCATGATGCACTTGCTCCCTTCCCTGCTGCATGCTCCTGCTCATTCCCTTCTTCCACGTCCTGGGTAGTGTACGCGTCCTTGACCTGGCGGGCTGCTAGCTCTCCATCTCTTGACTCCTCCACCTCTTGACGAACGTCTGTCGGGCTTCTGATACCGAACGGACGGTCATCACCAGTCATGATTACTCCCTGATGACAGCCGTCGTGTCAGATGCTATCAGCACATGGTACAGGCTGACCTGATCTTTGAGAACGCGATCGACAATGGGATTTCCAGTTGTATTCCCTGCAATCACAGTGAGAAAAGCTCACCCGAGAGCTTGTCGTTTCATGCCCAGCACCAGTCATGAGCGTCAGACGAGGACCGGTCTCCTCCTCCTTCCTCTCCAGCTCTGCCAAGCTCGCGTCAGACGGTCTTACCCAGCCTGATCTCTCTCACCTGGACCCTCCACCTCTTCCCTGCCATGGGGAGCAGCGACACAGCATTGAAGCTATCAGTCTCAAGAGGCCTCGGGACAAGCTCGCACGAACCTTGTTTGCTCCGGCTCTTTTGCTTTCTCCTCCTCCTTCTCTTTCTCTTCATTCTTCGAGTTGAACATCTGCAGTCAAGGTGAGCATACGAACCTCGCTCATCTGTCCTCCCTCCTTACCATCTCCCGTGTCTCCAAGTTCCACTCAACCTTCCCTTTCTCCAGCAACTTGGCCATGTTTTCCATCCAAGGGCTCGTGGTTGACTTGTTCTGATGTGCATCTGAAGCCTTCTTCTTGATCTCCTGCAGCTGGGCTGCCAGGCTTGTTTTGTTCGACGTTTTCTCTTTCTCCACATCAATCTTCTCAGGTCTCTTCACAACTGCAAACTTGTTCCCGGGGAGGGGAAGGATAGCGTGAGTGGTAGCATCGACCTAGCTGGAGGTCAGGTGATCGAGGCAGCAGGGAGCGGAGGACGGGACAGGACAACAGGAGCAAGCCTTGCATCGCACCTCTTGTATGCTGTCTCCGACAACATTCTCCCGCATACACTTGTCGACCTTGGGGTCTATCCCGACGCACGTCACACCTGCTGACGTGTCATCGCAGCGTCTGCGCCTCGTCTGCTAACCCGCTGCTGTCTTCTCGCGAGGAAAGACTGCCCTGCACTTGTTGCACCGCAGCTTCCCCGTCAGCCCTGATCTCACGCGGCTCCTGCGATGAACTTTCAGTCGGGTCTGAGAGAGCGGAGGGGGAGCAACCTGACGTGGCAGGAAGGGCAAGAGATCAAGACTTCGTATCTTCAATATCATCTCAGCTCTTCTGTGCTCGTTAGAAACGTCACTCACGGTCTCCCGGCTTCAATCTTGTCCCATGCGGCAACCTGAGACACACTAAGTCAGCAAGCAGACGGCTGACATCCATGTTACAACCTCTTCCCGAGTTTGAGAGTTCACGACAACGAAACCTGTCGAGTTCGTCTGAAGCAAGGGTCATACCGGTGAGGAAGAAGGGGCAAGGGCAGACCATGAAGACGAAGGGGGAAGTCAGATTGCGCGAGTTGATCTCGTTTGCTCTCGCCAAGATCTTCCTACACCCGTTCCTTACGAAAGTTGTCAGTCAGCACAGTCTTGATTCATAGTCATGGACCGTGTACCTGTCAATGAACTTCTGCAGCCTCCTGTACGCATCAGCCGCTGCTTTATCCTCGGGGACGGGAACGAGGAGGTGGTCATGTTGGACAGGGGCGAAGGGCTTCTTTGCGGCCTGTTCAGGCTCCTCCTGGTCCTTGAACAAGATCTCGCTCCTGAACAAGTCAATGCTCTTGTTGGCGAAGGGGTCAACCTGATCCTCGGTGATGTTTGCAAGGGGAAGGAAATTGTTTCCCTGAAGCCAACATCAACACACAGTGCCAGTTCACTGCCTCCACCTTCTCCAGCAGAGTCCCAGGAAGGGCCCTCTGGTGCCAAACTCGCTGGATCATCCTGCTGGGTAGAGACCTCTTTGTCTCCGCCGGGAGTGAAGAGTTGGGAATGACATTCGAGTATGCGACAACCATCTGAACCAGAGAGGTCGGCACCTGGATTTCTGGAATGCGAGTTGTAAGAGGGAAGAGAGAAACTTTCTATCTGTGTTTCTATCTCTGTTTGTTTCTTTCGCACATTTCTATCCTCCCTCCCCTCTCCCTTTCGATTCCCCGTCCTTCCTGTCCCTCCCGTCCCTTCCGTCCCTTCCATGGCTCCCTCCTCCCCTCTGTCCCTCCGTCCTCACCTTGCTCCAGCTCGTCCTCGACGTAGAAGGCAGACACGTTGTTGTCAACAAACGTCGAGTTCCTCACTAGCGTCTTGCAGCGATCGGACAGTTTGAACCCAAACTTGCATCCTGAGACGATGCACTTGTCCAGCACCGCCACCCCATCCCCCAGCAGGCGGATCCCGGAGATCTCCGCATACCCCAGCGTGGAGGCTTGCAGGATACTGTGTGCCTGTTCCATAAGCACCATGCCGTAGGTGGCTGTCTCGTTGAGGTCGGACGATGCCCCCCCCTGCGATGAACTTGGTGAGGGCAGGAAGGGAGGAGGAGGAAGAAGCTGCTAGGAGAGACGGAGGGAAGTGAGGAGAGACGGTAGAGTCGTGACGAGGAACGGCAGAAGAGGAGGAGGTTGTCGGAGGGTACACGGGAAAGAAGAGAGGATGTCTCACAACGATGGAGCCGATGATGGAGGTAAAGGAGGTCTGGGCCTGAAGTATGGAGATTCCTCCGCTGCAGCGAGCCTGCACCCGAGTGAGCAGCAGAAGAAAAAGGAGGAGAGGGAAAGGTAAGGAAGGGATGGGAGAAGGGAGGGAGGAGGGAGGAGGGAGGAGGGCTGCAAGACAGACCTGAACTCCATAGAAGGACCATGGAAATGCTGTTGTCCCTCCCACGATGATAAACAGTGCAGCCCCTCCCCTGTGGCAGGTTCGATTAACCCCTCCCTCCGCCCCACACCGCTGCCGCTCTCTTCCTCCTCCTGCCTACCTAGTCTCCAGCTCATGCACAAAGGAAGCGTTGTACATGGTCCCCCAGGTTCCGCTGAGCGAACGCCGTCAACTGACAATAGAACGGGGCACAATTCGAGAGCTCAGGGCTCCCTACCTGTGCAACGCCCACTGTCCCCAGAGTCGTGTGTGTGCTCCGATGCTGCCTCCGACCTCGAACTGCTTCAGATCCTCTATAACGCAGTCTCCTCCAAACAGCTTCAGCTTCGTGTCGGCGCTGGAGGACTCGATGATCAGCCTGGCAGGGCAGATTAGTTTCCAGCAATGAGCTGATATGAACGTGCGCAGAAAGTTCACCTGTCCTTCCACTGGTAGTCTCCCGGGCTGACCAGCAGCCTCCTCCCCATTTCCAGACTCAGGAAGACTGCGCTCTTGAGGTCTTCGATCTGAGCGTCGTTTCAGCATCTGTATGCTGGCGGCAAAGGAACTCACTTCTGCTGGGACCCTGATCGTGTTCATCTTGGCCTCAAGATGACGGAAATCTTCCATGATCTCCATCGGGTCCCACCCACTACAAGAGAAGCGTCAAGGCTCAATCAGCCTCACAGCTTTCAGAAAACACTTCACCTGTACATCTTGTAGAGGTCCTGACTAGTCAACTAGGTTCCATTGTCCATCAGCCCCCATCTAGTGACTGATGAAGCACGACACTACCTGCTCGTCGTACACCAGTCGTTTTTCCTCCTCGGGCGATAGTCCAATCAAGCCTGATCCCCGGGGATGGGAATCGTTCAAGCACTTGAAACCAAATTCGAGTAGGTTGGTCATGTTGAAGTCCCGACTTCGGATGTTTGCTTTGTGGATGCTTTGAAGTGCGGCCTGCATGATGAGAAGATCAACGAAAAAGAAGAGAAAAAGGATTAAGGAACAAGGAAGCAGCAAAGGAGACAAGAACAAGAACAACCTGTGTATCTCCCTGCAGCAGATTACTCTTCATCTGGTCTAATTGCTGATTTTTCATCTCTTCATGCCACCTGTCTCGTCGTCATTCTCAACAAGGTATCAGGGAGCACCTTTCCTTCTGAGCATATCGATGCTAACTTTGAACTCTTCTTTCGTCGTCGAGCTCTGGTGGACTTCATCGAACTTGCTCTTATGGTGCAGGCCATCTGAATCAGCCGATTCGTCCAAGTACTTGTTACTGTCCGAGGAGCCCTCTGCTTCATCGCTGCAATACAACAAGCTGCATCAACACGAGCATGACAGCACGTGCCGCACTACCTTTCTTCACCATTGGACTGCTTGCCATCTTGGCCCTTGATCTCTCGATCTCCGTTGAGAGTTCTGCCAACAGGCATTGGTCTCCCCTACATGTCACCACAGCACAACACCGATCCCTGATCTGTGTCTCCCCATCATCAGCCCTCTGCCCTCCTGCTCGTTCGCGTCTGCTCGCACGCATTCCCGTCAGCCACATCGCTGCGTGTGCACACGTCGTCCATCTCACATTCCTCCCTCTTCCCATGGATCGTCCTCGGCTTCTGATCCGTCACTGCCCTCAGGCGGATCCCTCTGTGCAAGGGCATCAGAGCTCATAGGCACAGCAACGTGTCCGCATCTCATCCACCAGCCTCTGCTCGTCAAGGTATTGCTCCCAGGCTTGGTTTATCTGCCTTACAGTAAGACTGAGCACACAAGACGGGGAGCTGACCTGCGCATTGTTGTCATCATCATATTCCTCTGACTCCTGGCTCCAGTCCTCGTCGGTTGCCTTCTTTGCACCCGGCAGCCCTCCTCGCAAGCACAGCGTCGGCCTGAGAACGACTCGCAGGCCTTCGAAATCTCCTCAGCCTCTGGTCTGGGAGCAAACAAGGGAGCAAAAACATGAGCAATCGTTACCTGTAGGGGCAATGGAAGGGAAAGATCCTAGTGCGGACTTGTCCAGCCCTCCGTTTACAATAGTGGAGAAGAAGACAAGAATCCCTATAGCCCAGCAAGAGTTCTGGGAGGGGGGGAGGGGCAGGATCGATGGTGAAATGTCAGGGTTTCTTTATCGTGTCATTGTGTGAAAGTACAGGATTCATCCCTCGACGAGCTCCCCGCGGCATTGCTCTCTTGTGACCTCAGAAAGCCATGGGTGCATCAAAATCTGCCATGTTGTTCGTCATTCTCACTCCGCGCCTCCTCCCTCGCGCCTCCTCCCTCGCGCTACCTCCCATCCCTCTCATGCGTTTGGGGCGCTTCCCTGTCGGCCCTCATCCCGGCCGGGCTGCTCTCCCGGCCCGGGGGCCGAGTCACTGAGCAGCTCACAGGCTGTGCCTGGCTGACCCGAGTGAGGGCCTACCGTACCGTACCGTACGGCACGGCAGAAACTTGGGGCGGCGGTCCGAACTTCCCGGTCTAGGAACTTGAATGCCAATGTCACTCGCTGATACAAGTTTTTCTCACTGTACGGGCCGTCTTTTCTTCTCTCGCCGGCGCCGCTGGCACGACGCCGTGACGATCCGGGACGGTCCAATCCGATACTGCACACCGGCGGCCGTCAGGCTCCCGGCTCCCGGCTCAGCCGAACTTCGGAAGGGCCTCCCGGCGGCTGGCAGGCCGCTCTGTACTACCGCACTCAGTAAAACCCGGGTGACCGTACGGTAGCGGCCGGGCGCCGCCCGCCGGTAGTACCCGGTCTGCTCTGAATCCGGGCTAACTCAGTTAATTGTCACGGTCCTCGTACCGTGATCAGTTTTACTAACTCAGTAACCGTTCCTTAGGCTTGATTGAGTGAAAGGATATGATAGTACGGCGGCGTTGAGTGCCGTGACCGGACCGTACCGTTATCACGGTGGCCCCCCGGCGGCGGGTCCGATCACCGGCCCGCGGCGCCCCCGGTGACTCTCATCGGATCGGACGGCGGCCGCAGCCGCACAGAACTGTATCTATCCAAAGCTCTATGACCAGTCGTACAGTCGCTCAGCTCAGTATGCGACGGTTCAACTACAAATCATCCCCCAGCAACTTGAAACATAAGTCGTTTCATAGAACCTCCGCAATCCTGGTCTCACCTCGCAACGCTTCGCGATAAGCCCAGTTCGGGAAGTTCTCCCGACTATCTGAGTGTTTTGTATTGAGAGTCCCCTCTCGCGTGCACCAACCACTTCCGTGCTCGCCATGGCGTTCGCTCCCGTCCACATATCCTTCCCGCCCCCTCCCCCTCTTGTTGTCTCCATTCAGCCCCGCCCTCGCACCACATCTCGCTCTACCCCCGGCGATCTCCTCCCCCCCGTCAGCATCTCCCTCGAATCCTTGCAGCCTCTCTTCTCCCGTAGTCAAGAGGACGCCGCCGCCTTCCTGGTGAGGCCCCACCATGCTTGTGCTGTGTGCCGGCTGACTGTGCGATGCGATCAGGGCGTGTCTCTTACGAGCCTCAAGAGCGCTTGCAGGCGTATCGGCATCGCCCGCTGGCCGTACACGAGGAGGACGTACAGCAGTCAGGACGCACGTCAGGGAGAGGGAGGAGCAGAAGCAGGCTCACACGGCGAGCGTCATCCCACTAGCAGCACGGCAGTAGCAAGAGTTGCAGATCATGGCATCACAAGCATAGCCCACGCTATGCAGCCTCGACAGGAGCAAGGCACGGAGGAGGAGAGCGCGTGCACGGACAGCTCGGACGAGGTGCTTGAGTTTTTACTGGAAGACTCGACATCGTCGGGAAGCTTTTGGAGGGAGGGGAGCTTTCTCAAGGAGGGAGAGGGGGAGGAGGGAGAGGATGCGGGGTGGGCGTACACGGCAGATTGGATAGCGTCGTTCGTGGAGAGAAACCAGGAGGATGTTGAGATTTGATATCATTGCAACCTGTAAAACAATGGGGTTGGTCGACTTTATCTTGTGTTTATTGAATGCTTGTGTTGTTTAGATCTTCACAAATCAAGTTTGTCTTTCGATCTCCCTTTTTGAAAGTTCAGGAAGGCTGTTAGAGGTGAAACGACCGGAAACTCTTGATTGCTGCTGAAAGCACCATGGCGTATCAAACCGAATCAAAGTGTGCTTATAAAGAATGATATCAGCGAGAGCTGGTTGATAAGCCACGTCGCTAAAAGTGCTCCGTATTTTATTTTGATTGTTCACAAGTTTCTGACAATTATTATTAAATCGCTTCAACGGGCTTTATATGTTCACTGAGTAGTTGTGTACGGTCTTTGCCGTGACCGAATTTAGAGACTTCGACTGCATCCTGATTGTGCTCTCCTGATTGTCCTCGTACTGATTTTAACTTAACTTTGAGTAAAGTGTGATGCTGAATGGTCGCGAGCGGTGAGGAGGGATGAAATATAGTTAAAGATGACTCAAGGCTTGGAATAAAACGTAAACTTTTTACCAGACTGAGTTTCGACAACAATGCATCCCATCCAAAAGGTTTTAAGCGGGACGGACGGACCCAGCATTTAAGTTCCGGCGGACTGAAGCCTTCGAGGTAAGACGGTTACGGTACGGTAGTAGGCCGTCTTTACTCAAACTTGACTCGGTTAAGTCAAAAATCAGTACGAGGACAATCAGGAGAGTCGACTCGGAGGAGGCTTGACCCTGCCGCACTGTCGCGCTGCAGGCTGCCGGGCCAGACTGCGCGGCGAGAAGAGCAAAGATAAGACCATACTACGGCACAGCGAGCCTCGGAGCCACTGCCGGCTGGCCGGCCGGGCACTACTGCGGCCGGCCGCAGCCACGCCGGTCACTGCAAACGGTGCCGCCGGCTCGGACTCCGACGGCGCTGGCCCCAGGCCGGCGGCCCCCGGGCCGCGGCCAGTCACTGTCAGGCTCAGCCACCTGGCGTCACTCACAGGCTCAGTGGCCGCCGGCCACGGCTGAGACCGTACGGTGTGCCGCAGACCGTCGGCGGCGGCGGTGCGGCGTTTGCGGGCCCGGAGTCAGTCCGACTCGATAAGCTGGCAGCACTGAGCACCGGCGTGACGCGGCGGGGCACGGTCGACCCGGCGACGGTCCGAGCGAGTCGGTCCCGGCGGCGCCGCCGTCCGATCCAACTTGAGTCATGGGGCGATGATTCCCGATGATCGGATCCGACTGACTCAGGACGGAGCCTCCGATCAGCACTCAGTACCGTACGGTAGTAGCCCGGCCCGCCGGACCGGCGGCCTAGCTTACCGTCTGAGTCAGGCTCCGAGGCCCGGGGCGGCTCGGACCGCGTACGGAGTACACGGTACTACGGTATACACGGTACTCGCCCGGCAACTGAGTGCTAACGTGACTCGCCAGCGTGACAGGCTGACTTGCCAGTCACTGAACGGTGTGCCCGGCCCCGGCTTACCGTTACTCTGCGCCTGTCCGTTAGCGCTATTTAACTGAAAGCTTGAGCGCGAGATGGCGGGAAGAGCGCAGTGGAGCGGGGAAGGACAGTAGTGTTGGAGGAGGGGAAGAGAGGAGAGAGAGGGGGCAACAGAGGAGGAATGCTGATCCTCTGTCCAAATCGCCGTGATTGAGAGATCGTTTCCTCGGGAGTCTGGTGCAAGGAGGTACAGCAGAGAGCTTGTGCGGGATGTTTGTATATTTGAACAAGAAGATCGCTATTCCCAACGGAGTCTTCCTCCACTGCTGTGAATGGAACGCTATCGAAGGCTGGGTAGCATGTGGAGGAGACGGAGGACTGCTGAAGATCCTGCAGTTCGAGAACAAAGCGCAGGGGAGGGAGAAGGGAGTAGCAGGAACCAGCAACTTGATTATGAATCAGACACTGACAGGGCACAAGAGCGCAGTGCTGTGTGCAGCATGGAACGACGAGTGCAAGAAACTGACCACTTCGGATGAGAAGGGTCTCATCATCGTCTGGACTCTGCACAAGGGTTCTTGGTACGAGGAGATGGTGAACGACCGGCAAAAGTCGGTCGTGCGGGACATCAAGTGGTGTGTGGACGGGACGAAGATCTGCATCTGCTATGCGGACGGTGCAGTGATAGTGGGATACGAGGATGGGAACAGACTGTGGGGCAAGGACCTCCAGAAAGAGCTGATCTTCTGTGAATGGTCGCCGGACGCCCGCCTCCTGGTGTTCGTTACCCCCCAGGGTGAAGTGCACGTGTACGACGCCAACGGCAACTACATCGCGCCCGTCACCTTGTTCGCAGGAGACGCCACGGCTCGAGTGTCAGGGATACACTGGTACGATGAGGTGGAGGGGAAGGTCGATCCCAGCGCTCCCTCGCTCGCCATCGCCTTTGACAACGGGAGGGTGCAACTCATGACCTCGGAGACTGACGAGAAGCCGATCCTGATTGACACGGGCCTGCAGCCGACCATCGATGACCCCAAGGGCCCGCCGAGGCTCCAGGTCAAGTGGAACTACCAGGGATCCATCCTAGCCATCGCCGGAGCGGCAGCGAACAGCGGCGGCGATCAGAATGTCAGTCAAGTTCAGTTCTACGACCCCTTTGGACGCCACCTCCGCACGCTCAAGATGCCGGGCCCGGGCATCACCGGGCTGGGCTGGGAAGGAAGCGGAAGCCTGCGCCTTGCCATCTCTGTAGAGTCGTTCATCTACTTCGCCAACATCCGCCCGGACTACCTGTGGGGCTACTTCTCCAGTACCCTCGTATACGCCTTCACCATCGCCGACAGGGTGGAGCACTGTGTTGTGTTCTTTGACACGCAGACCGGGAACCGGACGGTGAAGTTCGTCAAGACTCTGATTCGTATACAAGCCTTCGGGGACTTCTGTGTGCTTGCCACAAGGACGGACGAAGTCGGAGTGTACATCCTCATCCTCTGCAACTCCATTGGAGCACCAGTGGACACCAAGTACATCAACATCGAGCCACACTACATCCACATGACGGAGACGCATGTCGTCTGCGCGGACGACAACACCATCTGTGTATGGCAGTACAGCTCTAGGGTATCGAAGCTGACCTCCATCGACTCTTCCAAAGACGGAGTGGCACTGAAGAAGAAGGACGGGAAAGAGGTACTTCTGAGGTGCCTTTGACGTGCTGTAACGCTGTGCAAGATTGTCTGGCATGTGGATGAAAGCCCCAACACAAGCACTGGAGGGTTCGACAAGCTGGGCAGGTGCACGCATATGAGCTGGGGTGATCAGTTCAGTCACATGAGTCTGAGTAGGAAGCCGAACACGGAGGATCCTATCTCGTGTATCTGTGCAAATAGAAGCATGCTACTGGTCGGACGTGAGAGCGGGACTGTACAGGTGAGACTTGGAGCAGATTGCTCTGTTGCTCCTGCTCCTTGTCAGCTTGTTTGACAAAGTTTGGGCCAGAGGTACTCCTTGCCTCACATACAACTCGAGCAAAAGTACATCCTCCGGTGCTGCCCGCAGATGCTTGCGGTGAGCTGGATGGACGCTGCTTCTTCTCCTCCTGACCCGACATGTCAGGTCAATTGTGACAGCACCAAGATGAGTATCATTGACATCAACGGCGTGCTCTCTTTCTTTGACTTCGAGGCTGGAAGAGGAAAGGTTGTGCCTCATGTGGTAGCGCCCAAGTTCTTGCTCTGACAGCCAACGTGCAGGGCATCAGCGAGGACTTGCACGCACCAGGAGAGCACCTCGCCACTGAGAGAAGGTGAAGGAGGAGGGGCAGGAGGAGAAGGAGGAAAGATAGGTTGAGATAGTTTCGGTGGAGGAAATGCCTTTCATCCTCACAGTCATTGAGGAAAAAGGCGCACGATAAGAAGAGGAAGGAGGCAAGAGAGGAGAGGGAGAGGAGAGGGTTGACGCTCTCCTTGCAGAGATGCCTGGGACATGCTGTGGGCTGAGGACAACCCCGACCTCATCACAACCATGGAGAAGTCGCGCATGTAACACTCTCCTCCCTCCCTCCTCCTCTCCTTACCCCTTCCTCCAGGTACATCCTCCGTGGCATGCAGCCAGAAGAAGCCGTCCTGTCCTCGGGCTACTTGTGCAGGTTCAGCAACCTGACCATCACCGCGATCCTGCTCGACGAGATCATGATCCAGTCCCCGAAGCTGCCGGACACCTCCTTCCTCGAGCACGTCATCGAGTTCGAGACCAAGTCACTTCGAGACTCCCGTGACATCCTCACAAAGGTTGGCATCACGGACGGCAGCCAGTACATCGACGACAACGCCCACCCTCGCCTCTGGTCCCTCCTCGCCGAGTTTGCGCTCGAGCGGCTGGATCTGCAGACAGCTGAGAAGGCGTTTGTGAAGCTGGGAGACTACCAGGGTATCCAGCTCGTCAAGCGGCTCTCCCACCTCAGCGACAAGGCAAAGCAGCGGGCGGAGGTCTCGGTCTACTTCAAGAGGTTCGACGAGGCAGAGAAGCTGTACAAGGACATGGACAGGCTCGACCTGGCGATCGACATGCGCGCGACGCTCGGGGACTGGCACAAGGTTATGACCCTGGCGGGTCAAGGCGGAGGGAGCGATGTCTTGCTAAAGACCGCCTACGTCAACGTGGGCGACTACTACTTCGACCGGCAGATGTGGAACAAGGCGTACGGCTACTTCGAGATGGCGGACGCGATAGAGAAACAGATCGAATGCCTGTACAACATGGAGGACTACAACTCCATGGCGAAGCTCGCTACTGACCCTGAAAAGCAGCTCCCTGAAGGCTCCTCCACCCTCCTCGTCATCGGCGAGCGGCTGGCGAGCGTCGGACTGGCAGACGAAGCCGTCACGGCCTTTCTGCGTGCCAACGATGTCAAGGCAGCCATCGACTGCTGCGTCCTGCTCAACAAGTGGGACCAGGCCATCCTGCTAGCAGAGGAGCACGACTTCCCGCAGATCGAGGGGCTGCTGACCAAGTACGCGACCCACCTGCTGGGGACGGGCAAGAGGATGGAAGCGATCGAGCTCTACCGCAAGGCGAACCGGCACCCGGAGGCGGCGAAGCTCCTTGCAGAGATCGCGCAGGAGGTGGTGAAGAGCAAGGCGAACCCGCACCGAGCTCGTCAGCTGTACATCCTTGCGGCCCTCGAGGTTGAGAAGTTCCGCGAGAAGACACTCAGGGTGCAGCAGCCGGGAGGGACGACGATGGTGGGTGGGACCATGGCAGGCAAGACGACTATGGGCAGGGCGACCATGGGCGGCGTGAGGAACACGCAAGCTACGCTGGCTACGCTGGACGGGCTCATGCAGGGAGATGCGATCTCAGCTGAGAACAAGATCCTTGACCAAGTCAGCTGGGCGTTTGCTGACCTCCGCAGGGTCTGACTGGCTTCTTGCAGGCATGGAGGGGGGTGGAGGCTCTCGAGCTGTACCTAGAGGCGCACGAGCATCTCTACTCAGGGCGAGTGAACATAGCGATGAGGTATGCGCAGAGCCTGGCCAAGTACGACGATATCCTCGGTGAGCTGAAGGAAGAGCTGGGGTCGGGCTGAGGAAGAGGAGGAGGGCGGGAGGGGGGAAGGAAGCGTGCTGACTTGCGAGCAGATGCGGAGGACATCTTCTCGCTGATCGCTCTGACCTCGTTCCACAACAACATGTACGCTGTCTGCTCTAACGCGTTCATGAGGCTGGAGCAGCTGGAAAGCCTGCCCAAGGAGAGGAGGGAGCACTTCCAGGAGCTCGCGTTCAAGATCTTCACCCGGTACACGCCCAAGGACATCAGCGTGAGCAAGACCGCAGAGCAGGAGAGCGTGACTTCTGAAACTCTCAAGGCGATCCGAAAGAAGTACATACAGCTCTGCCAGGTAGGCCAGTGAAGACTGCAAGGGAAGGAGGGAGGGGGAGAGGGAGGAAGCTGCAGGAGAAGTGGAAGGGAGAGGGATTTAGGGGCGAGGCAGGCCGAGCATGTCTGTCAGGTTGAATTGAGTACAGAACATAAGAAAAACAACAACAACAAAAAGCAGAAGTACGAGAGGAGGGAGATGTTGTTCAAGGTACGGTAACCGTCCTCTTCTCCTACGTTAAGGATGCCAGCCCCGTGTAGATCAGGAGGAGGTTAAGCCCAACGACAAGGCTGGTGATCGCCCAGCTCAGCATGCAGAGGAACGTGGAGCTAGCATGCTCCCCCATGATGGAGTGTGAGGACGTGAAGTAGACGAGAGGGATGATGGCGAAGGGGAGCTGAAGCGACAACACAACCTGCGGCATGACGTCACTTTTCACCCACAACTCCTTCCACATCCTCTTCATCACTGCCAGGCTCCTTCGTTCATCAGCTGCCTCTTCCTCCCGTCAGATCCCTGACTACCTCCCTCCTCTCCCTCTTTCCCCCTCTTTCTCTTCCCACCTGGCTCCACAGAAGCAGCGTGTCCACCGCCGAGTCGCCCTGGAGCAGGAGGACGGCAAGGGCAGGAGCGATGGCGCTGGTGCGGGTAACCAGCCTCTGCATCGCCGGCTCGATCTTGAAGTGCAGGAACCCATCCATAACCACCTGCCCTGCTAGTGTCCCCGTCAGCGTGCTCTGCTGCCCACTAGCAAGCAGCGCTGTCCCAAAGAGGACGGAGGCCATCTTCTTGCCGAGGACCCGGTCCATGAGGCTGGCGGCCTCCTCGATTGAGGCGACGTCCTTGTGACCGCTGCGGTTGAACGTGGCAGCAGAGAGCACGAGAATCGCAGCGTTGACGAAGAACGCGAGGAGGAGGGAGACGTTGGAGTCCAGCGTGCTGAAGACGACGGCCTCCTTCACCGCCCTAGGGTTGCGCGCGACGTTCCTGGTGAGGACAAGGCTGCTGTGGAGGTAGAGGTTGTGGGGCATGACCGTTGCTCCAAGGATGCCGACGCCGAGGAAGAGTCGGTTGGAGTCTGTGATCAGCGAGGACTGAGGGAGGAAGCAGCCGCGAAGGATCCCTGCCATGTCGGGCTGACTGAAGTAAATCTCGACGATGAAGCAGACGGTGATGGTGGCCATAAGCGCAAGGATGATACCCTCGAGGATTCTCATCTGGTTCCCTCCCAGCGCGAGCACCAGCAGCACGTCAGCTCCTGTGATGAGAACTCCGTAGGTAATGGGGATGGAGAAGAGAAGTTTCAGCGCCAGAGCTGACCCGATCACCTCAGCAAGGTCACACGCACAGATGGCAATCTGAGCCATGAGCCATAGAACAATGGTTACGGCCTTGGGGAAGTGCATGCGGCAGGCCTGCGGCAGGTCATCAGCACCATCCTCGCATGCTTCGACTTCACCTGCGCAAGGTCTGTCCGTGACGCGAGCCCAAGGCGGACGGAAAGCGTCTGGAAAAGCATGGCCATGATGGAGGAGGCGAGGACGAAGAAGAGGAGGTCGTAGTTGTACGCTGATCCCGCCTGAATGTCAGTGGCCCAGTTCCCCGGGTCCATGTATCCTACAGCTATCAGCGTCCCAGGCCCGAGAAAAGGCTTCACTTTGCTCCACCACGACCCTCCTCCTGCGTACTCCACCTCCACGCTCCTGTACAGCTCACCGAGGGACGCATCTCGCTCGTCGAAGCTCATCCCGACACTGAGCAGAGGGGCCGAGGGATCCATGCAATCCTCTTCCTCTTCATCCTGCCCTTCTCCCTTCAGACACTTGAGGTTGACTTCCTTGTGCCGACGGCTAGAGGATCCTTCTTGCTGGGACTGAACCCCGCCGCTCTGCTCTACAACCAGGTCCTGCGCAGTTGCTGTCCCCCTGGATTGTATCCCGTCCCCTCCTTCAATGTCCAAGTTTTCATCCTCTCGGCCTATCCCCGCCATCTCTTCGAAAACTCAAGACTGTAAGATTCAAAACTCTTTCCTTGTTACCTCAATAACCTGGTTAAACCTTCAGAGCAGCCAGGTCTGCTGTCCGCTACTTGGTCGTTGCGATCGTGTTCAGCTTTCTCTCGCGGTGCGCCAACAGCATGTTCTAAAAGAAAATTGTAAGAGGTTGATGAGGCAGCCAAGCGGGCGGGCAAATGGAGCAACGGAGCAAGCGGGGAACAAAAGAGTTGATCATTATAAAATCACTGTATGCCAACTTATTAGCCACAAACCCTTGATCAAATAGATCAATATGTTTGCAAGTTTTCTTCTGATTCAAGGCACGACTGAAGCTTAACTCTGTGTTCGAGTTTATCATCGCCTCCCTTCCCAAATTTCCTGTTCTCTCGATTTCTCCTCCATGGACCTGCTATCTCCATGCTCAGCTCAACTTCAACAGGAACGCTTGCATCGTCATCGTGTGCTCGCTTGTCTTGCCTTCTCCTCTCCTCGGCTCCTCTCCTGCTTCCTCTCCTCCTGCTCCCACTTTGCGCACTCCCACGCCATGCCGCAGTTCCAACATGCTGCGACCCCACCCTCACCCTACCCCCATCAAAAGGTAACCCCACCTGAAGTCACAACCCGTCATATGCTGAAGACTCTTTGCTATGGAGTACCCGGTACTTCGAGCCTCATTGAAGGTCTACCCGTACTTTTTAATCAGTGTTCCCAATTGGTGAGCATGGAAAGGGGTTGGGGTAGTTCCAGGATAGTACGAGACAAACAAGAGGATAGTCGCAACAGGGGTGGGTAGTCAAAAATGGGTGGGTGGAGTGGCAAATGGGTGGGTAGAGTCGGGAGAAGAGGGAGGTAGGGTACTCAAAGGGGCGGGATGGTGGGTCATGGGTGGCCTCCAGGATTTCGACGTAATGGCAGTTGGCAGACAACAGTGTTTCTAGGAGGGGGTGGGGTGATACATGGTTTGCCCAATTACTGGTCTTCTGGGGTGGGTACCATTTGTTTGAAGAGTCGTGAAGGGGTACTTTGATGAGAAATGCTAGATCTTCTAATGAGTATTGAGGGGTGGGTGGTTCAATATCAGGGGTAAGTGGTACCATGTCACACCCGTTGTACAGCCAACTTTGCAGAAAGGGGGCGGCATGGCTTGGCGGCAGGGAACCATGCTGGCGCTGGCGTGCGCTGCTATGACGGAGGCCTTCGTGATGAACGGAGGAAGAATGGCGATGATGAAGGTAAGAGGAGCAAGCGAGACGTCGATATGGTAGTAAGGAGAGAGGTTGCTGGCATGAATGAGGAGAAGGAAAGGATCCAGAAGAATGAGGAAATGCTGGGGTAGTCGTCGCAATGGGTGGGGATGGACTGGTAGAATTCAATTTGAAGCTTCTGAAACGATGATGAATTATTGATGCAAATCAAGTTGTCGTGATGGCGACATTAAAAAAGACGATCGAGAGCGCTGGAATCGTATAGGCTAGATTCAATGGGATGAACTTGGCGTCCACACTTCTATCCCTACCATGCTCTACACAGTCGATGATAAGACATGCCAGACTGGAGCATCCTCTGCACTCTGCAAAATTCCATCGTCGCAGCCATCGCGACTGGCCGCATGGTTTCAAACAACCTTGCACCCCTTGGTCTCTAACGAGCGAACAGCAAGCCTTCTGCGCTTGCTGGACCAGCTAAGGACGATCTCGTGTTGGCATCCTCTTCATCCTTGGTGAGCATCATCGTGTTTGTGCGAGAGTCTGGCGTGATGATGAGAGCAGAAGTATGAATCGCGTCTCCCGGCATTCCGACAGGCTGTGACATCTCTCAAGGTTCTTCTGAATTCTTTCCTCCTCCTCTTTCTCTTTCACCATCATTTCCCCTGCCTCCCTCCCTCCCTCCCTCCCTCCCTCCCTCCCTCCCTCCCTCCCTCCCTCCCTCCCTCCCTCCCTCCCTCCCTCCCTCCCTCCCTCTCCCTCGTCTTCTTCCAAACCTCTAGTCCCTCATGCCCATGTTCGTCGTAGATCTTTCGCTTCTCGGGATCTGACAGCACCTGCCGACGCTCTCACGCTCCATACCACTGCCATACCCCCAAGCCTGCTCCTCCTCCTCCCTCCTCCTCCTCCTCCTCCTCACCACCACTACCACCACCACCACCACCACCACCAACAACAACAACAACAA